ATACTTCGATGGATTAAAGTGTTAGAATATTATCGTGCGCATTTGTCTAAATTTATGAGTTAAAAAATTAATATTGAAAGTTTTGGGAGATAATTTTCATTTATCAAACTGAAAGTAATAATTTTCGGCATGTTCATTAAACACAAGTTTTAAAAAAAATATCATCTTTTACAAAAATGCTAATTATGTCTTTATTTAGTCCTATAGCACTTACTTCCCTTTGATAAATTAGGAAAACACAATTACTTCCCTTTATAAAACCATTGCATTAGTGGAAAAGAATTTACTTTTTATTACTTTGTTTTGGTGTTGGGAAAAAAATAATTACATAATTAGCGGGGAATGATCAAGTGCAAATGTTGTAGGTATTTTACGGATAAGCTTGGAGTATTAAAATTGTTCATTAAATTGAAACAGGCGCGTTCGTTTAAGTGAGTGCAAAAGACTATAAATAAGTTGGGGTACTATAGTCGTTTATTAAGCTAAAACAGGCGATTCCGTTGGGTTTGCGTTAGTGGTTGCGGTTTGATTTGGTTCGTTTTTGTTCTTTCTTTTTTCGTTTTGTTTGTGTTTTTTTCTTTGGGTTTGTATTTGTGTTTTGGTTGGTTTTGCGTTTGGATTTGGTTTGTTTTCGTTTGCTTTTTCGTTTTTTTGTGTGTTGTTATTGGTTGGTATTGGTGTTTGTGGTTGTGGTTGGGTTTTTGTTAGGTTTTTGTTTTCGTTTGCTTTTTTGTTTGTTTTTTCTTTGTGTTTGTATTGGTGTTTGTGGTTGTGGTTGGGTTTGTTGTTAGGTTTTGGTTTCGTTTGTATTTGTAATTGTGTTAGCGTTATGTTTGCGTTTTGTTGTTTTGGTTTTGGTTGGTTGTGGTTTGGGTGGGCAATGCCGGGTTTATGATGATTACTAATCACACAGGTGATGGTCTTTAACAGAGAGGTTTTTCACAGAAGCCAGAGCAGGGCCTGGCCGGGACGGCTAGTGTGTACCTAAATTCTACCTTAATTCTATTAGTTAGATGAGATTTACTGACTGATATCTGCTAGGTTGCTTGCATGTGTCATATTAATGCGACTGCAGTAACGATTTACAGAACACGTTAGTTTTGTATGGATTCGATGCTTTTGAAAAGATGACTTGCACAATAAAAAAAAATAGCTGGTGCAATAAAAATAGTTATTTGATGAATTTATTGCAGATTCCTAAAAAAAGATTATCTCTTTATGACACGTCTTAAATGTGAGTGTTCTAATCGAGTTTAGGTGATATGAAATACACATTTTATATCAGCATGTAACCAGTGATATAGAACTCACCTTGGTCCAATCAGATCTTCTCCAGCAACCTCTATGTTTCGGACAATACTCGACAAATATCACCACGTGATGGGCCATTGATGACCAGCCTCTGTAATTAAACTTTCCCTTGAGGAATCCTGTTAATCTAAAACCATAACCCCCATATCGAACTCTTTCATAACCCGAAATTTCTAATTCTACTTTATCGCTCCACACACGCGGGTTCTTGATTTCAACAACCGTAGTGCGTGGCGTTGGAGTCCGGGTTGGCCTTGGCCTATCGGGGAAAAGCCCTAGTGAAAGAAAGCAAGAAAAAAGATTTTTTACCAAGCGATGTTTAACCATAAAAAGAAATTGATGGTTGAAAAAAAAAAGTGGAGATATTCTACCGCTACACAAACCGCATTAATACATATTTAAAATGCACGACACTGTAAGTAACCTGCGTGTATGCAAATATATATATATATATATATATATATATATATATATATATATATATATATATATATATATATATATATATAGACGTATGCCCTAAAGACAACAGCCCGGTTGGATATTTGCCCGAAGGCTATTTTCATCAAGGGACGTTTTCAAATGTCCCATAAGGACAAACGTTTTTCGAGTAAATGTCCATTCGACCAAGCGTAATTCAGTCTTTTGTCGTAGACCTATATATATATATATATATATATATATATATATATATATATATATATATATATATATATATATATATATATATATATATATATATATATATATATATATATATATATATATATATATATATAAGTAATGATTCACTTTATTAGTTTCACTTTTTGGCAGCTGATATTCCAGACTAATGATTCCTCACAATGTCATCCTCTCTGCTCATGGTATGCCCTATCCATCTACACTGACGGCCTTTTAATATCCCTGTCGACTCGCTGATGTTTGGTGATTTGCCACAGTTTGACCAATCCTAAATCGGGTGTAGCGATCTAAAGGCGCAGCTAGTTTGGTTGATACGGCTATTTATGTCCTCATCTGCACCCTTATCAAACTTCCCAAATGTGTAAACTTGTTTGTTTCTAGTATCTCATCTCCTGTATGGGCAGGTCCAGTTTGTTATATTGTTGGCCTCTGTTTCATTTCTACTGATGTTTAGTTCTACTTACGAGGCATCTTCGGATAGACGATTCAGTTTAAAATGGGCATGTTTTTGCTTGCGAGATAGTAGGCAGATGTCCGCGGAAAAATTACATCTTCCAGAATTTTGTTAAAATTTTAGTGGATTTCTGTTAAGTGTTTCTTACCCGAATTTCCCCAGTTCGATCATACGAGCAGTTAAAGCTCATTAGCTCGGGACATTAACCCAAGAACAAAAAAAATCTTCAACATGAATGGATCCCCATAAACAATAGGTCTACATACTATTTTTACTTTATGCAGCAATGTCTACTGATGTTAGTACCAAAACTAACGCTGAGAATTCTGATGGACTAAACCGGCAAGGGTCAAGAGAGGTACCATGATGCCTTGGGCAACACACCCACTCCTCATCTAATGCTCTGGTGCGTACCATTTTTAACTGAGTGCATTTAACAAGTCTAAATGGAGCTATTAAATGCTGGGCCTTCCATTTTTTCGGAGGGCAAACCACATTTTAAACTATCAAAGTTAGCTTTGATGGGACCATAGGTTACTTAAACTTTTTTCTACAACTTACAGGAGTCTATACAAGTGATGAGTCCAGTGACAACCAAAAGCAATGCACACAGATTCATCTTATCAACAAGATCGTTGTACACTTGGAATCTTTGATTGGCTAAAAATACAAAAAGTAATAATTTTTTTTTAACCCTGGAGAGCATCTATACATTTTTTTTCTCTGAAAATCTACATTATCTATCTATATTAAAAGAATAGCAATAATATTCATCAGATAAAATTAATTCTCTATAAATAGCGTATTTGGGCATGCCGATCATGAAACAGCCCCTACGACATTAGTCGGACAAAACTAGACCAAAGAGGATTGTCCATCTATTGATGGAATAACAATGAAGACACACATTCGTAGCAAAAGTGGCCGTCCGTTTTGTTGGCAGAAACAGGCGCTAAGAGAGCAGATATCCTCTCTCCCTTGATAATACATCTATCATCTTAAGGAGTTAAGTCAATTTTATATTACGGTCACACCTTTGTAATCAGGTGACAAATGTTGTTTAAACGACGGTGGTAATTGTGGAACAAATATATGGGAAAGGTGCATAGAAGCAGAGCAGTCTTCTTCTTCTTCTTCGTTCTTAATTTTTAGTGTTGGGAGGGATCGAGCCTTATCTGCCAGAGGGTTTGAACTCGAGACTTTTTTCGAATTTATCAACCATGAGCTTTGCCGACTCGACCATGCTTCCATCACAATTAAGAATTACGTGTCAACTGGTTATGCGCCATTGAGGCCATTGAATCCCAATTTCAGCCTGCTTTTCTTTTTGGATTTACTTCCATAGCCTTTGTCCAACCAAGAACAAGCTACAAGGCAGCAGTTGTTTGATTTTGGAGTTGTCTCTCCTAGAAGAGTTGCTGTCCCCAGCTAACGAGCCACATCTGCCCGAGAGTAGAGCAGTATTAGTGCCGACTACCCAGATATGGAATCTTTTGTTACATCGCAGAAAAGCAGCTGCACTTTTAAGAAGATGACACTTAGCAACAGCCCGCAAAGAAACGGCACAGTCTAGCCGTTAAGGTCAAATACCATATAAAGAGTACATGAAGTACCCCTTTCGAACCTGACAATCTTTGGGGCAAGTGAAGTAGAGTTCATCTGTTTATGTGACCTGGGCATATGAAGAGATAGTATGGTTAGCACTAAGCATAGTCGCCTTTACTTTCTCTAACTTGAGTTCGGTATCCATCAGAGCCGAGTTGACTCGGAGACGTTCTAGTGACTTAAACAAGGGATTCGAACTCACATTAAATATTACAATATTTGTTACTATATTGTATCTAATATAAGATATATAATTATGTATCATTAGATACTGCACTTGACTTTATTTGCATAAATTAAACTTACGCTATGATTTTGAAGCTTTATTTCATCCCGTATTTACATTGGTGCGCTAAGGCTGAGGATGTTTTTTAAAAGTGTTAAATGGTGCACATGTCAGAAAGAGAAATTTAAAATTACGTATTAAAGCACAATGAACACATTTTTGGTGTGCAATTTCTTAGATTTAACCACCAACAACACCAAGGCTTAAAATTGTTGACTAGAAATGTTAACCAAAATAACCTACGTGGTGACCACCACACCATCGCCGATGTTGTTCTAACATGTGACAAGATTGCCTTTTTTTACAACCCATCTGGTGCCTGACTGTTGGGGTTACAAACCCACACTACCATTCTAGCTTGAATGAAACCTGGTGCATGGTTTAAGTAAAGTGTCCTTACAAACCTGATGGTTTATGTTGCAAGTGTAGTAGAGTTCACCTGTTTTTGTGCATTGTTTACATTTAAATAAATCGATCTTAGATAATCCAATACAAAAATTTGGTAGACATGATGATTCATAAACCCAGACTAGGACCCCGAACTAATATCTCAAATGTTACTCTCACACACCTTTAGTCAGTTTCTCAAATTATTATATATTACTGTATAATTTATTACTAGTGAATTTAATCGTAACATGGAGAAAAAATTAACGATCTATGTAGACATACATACATTGCACAATCAATAAATATCAAGAGAGCTGCTTAGTGCATGGAGTAAATAGCTTTAGAGTACAGATCAGCAGGAAACTAGAGCTAGATGGTAAGGCAGTGTATTAGGCAGCACTGGCAAGGTACACCTGATTGGCCTGTAGTCGGATTTTGGCGTGTAAGACATCCGAAAATATGCCATCCGAAAAAAAAGTTACATTGTGTATTTGAGTGTGCTAAGTAAAGTGAAAAGTTTTGATTTAGAAAAATGTTAATGTACCGTTTTTTTTAACAGAAACAGGTCTTATTAATGTATTGTTGACACGATCAAGTAGTTTTCGTTTTCTTAAAGACTAAAGGACATCCTTACCAGTTTTAATTTTCTGTTTTCGAGACTTTCTAATACTGGTCTATATCTGGTAACACATTCGAGACTTTTAAATGAGAATACTGGTCTATATCTGGTAACACATTCGAGACTTTTAAATGAGAATACTGGTCTATATCTGGTAACACATTAGAGACTTTTAAATGAGAATACTGGTCTATATCTGGTAACACATTCGAGACTTTTAAACGAGAATACTGGTCTATATCTGGTAACACATTCGAGACTTTTAAATGAGAATACTGGTCTATATCTGGTAACACATTAGAGACTTTTAAATGAGAATACTGGTCTATATCTGGTAACACATTCGAGACTTTTAAATGAGAATACTGGTCTATATCTGGTAACACATTCGAGACTTTTAAATGAGAATACTGGTCTATATCTGGTAACACTTTCGAGACTTTTAAATGAGAATACTGGTCTATATCTGGTAACACATTCGAGACTTTAAAATGAGAATACTGGTCTATATCTGGTAACACATTCGAGACTTTTAAATGAGAATACTGGTCTATATCTGGTAACACATTCGAGACTTTTAAATGAGAATACTGGTCTATATCTGGTAACACATTCGAGACTTTTAAATGAGAATACTGGTCTATATCTGGTAACACATTCGAGACTTTTAAATGAGAATACTGGTCTATATCTGGTAACACATTCGAGACTTTTAAATGAGAATACTGGTCTATATCTGGTAACACATTCGAGACTTTTAAATGAGAATACTGGTCTATATCTGGTAACACATTCGAGACTTTTAAATGAGAATACTGGTCTATATCTGGTAACACATTCGAGACTTTTAAATGAGAATACTGGTCTATATCTGGTAACACATTCGAGACTTTTAAATGAGAATACTGGTCTATATCTGGTAACACATTCGAGACTTTTAAATGAGAATACTGGTCTATATCTAGTAACAAATGAGAAAATAGCTTGGTGACATCTGGGACTGGACCGAATTTTTCTTTACAGACTCCCAGAGAGCATTAAAACAGCGGATAGATGGCAAGGTGTTGCAAAGAGACAACCTTGGTGCTAATCAACAGTCTGACGGAGACATTTGAGGTTTGGATAACTGGTCTATATAATGTAATCGTCTAAATGGCTGAGAAATTTTAAACACTGAGGTTCAAAACAACGGTTATATGTGGTTACTTGAGAATAGAAAATTATGTGAATTTAGTAGATGTAAACTTAACTTTATAAATCGCGAGTCGATGTTTCCTATACACACATTGTTTGCTTTTACTTGTGTGGGTATTTTTGTTATCACCTCGCCATAAACAAACTGTCACCTCGTCAACAATCTTGTGTCACCTCACCATAAACTCTGTGTCACCTCACCATCTACTATGTGTCACCACAACATCAACTGTGTGTCATCTCACCATCATCTGTGTGTCACCTTACTATCAACTGTGTGTCATATCACCATCAACTGTGTCACCACACATTCAATTGTGTTGTCTCACCATCAACTGTGTCACTATAACATCAACTGTGTGTCACCTCACCATCAACTGAGTCACATCACCGTCAACTGTATGTCACCTTACCATTAACTGTGTGTCACCTAATCATTAACTGTGTCACCTCGCCATTAACTGTGTGTCACCTTATCATCAACTGTGTCACCTCGCCATTAACTGTGTGTCATTTCACCATTAACTGTGTCACCTCAACATCAACTGTGTCACCTCAACATCAACTGTGTCACCTCACCATCAACTGTGTCACATCACCATCAACTGTGTGTCACCTCATCATTAACTGTGTCACCACACCATCAACTGTGTCACCTCACCATCAACTATGTCACCTCGACACCAACTGTGTGTCACCTCACTGTTGTGAATGGACTTAAGTGTTCGGAATGAGTTTGAGAGTATGTGTGTAGTTGAACGAAGTTAATAAAGTAGTCGATGGTTTAAGAGTATGTGTGTAGTTGAATGGGGTTACCAAAGTTGTGGCTGGTTTGAGAGTATGTGTGTAGTTGAATGGGGTTACCAAAGTTGTTGCTGGTTGAATGTATGTGTGTAGCGGTATTAATAAAAGATTATAAATGCGTGAATAAATAAGGATGTGACGTAAGAGAGAATGTTTTGGTTCTTATGAGGATAGTTAGAAGTCAGTCTTGTTCTTGTCGTCGTCATGTGAGGTTGTGTTAGAAAGTCTTCGTTCTGTGTCTGCTGTTGATGTAGCTGTATATTGATGTAATAAAATTATAGAAATGAATCAAGCCACCTTGTCTCATCTATATTTGATCTATACCTCGTTCGTCACGTTCAGCGTCGACCCGTACCGAAACTCACATCGCAACACTCACCATCAACTGTGTCACCACACCATCAACTGTGTGTCACCTCGACATCATCTGTGTGTCACCTCAACTTCAACTGTCTCAACTCACCATCAACTGTGTCACCACACCATCCATTTTGTGTCACCTTACCATCAACTGTGTTACTACACCATCAACTTTGTGTCACCTCACCTTCAATTGCGTCACCTCACCATCAAATTTGTCACCACACCATCAACTATGTGTCACCTCACCATCTACTATGTGTCACCACAACGTCAACTGTGTGTCACCTCACCATCATCTGTGTGTCACCTCACAATCATCTGTGTGTCACCATACTATCAACTGTGTCACTACACCATCAACTGTGAGTCAACTCGACATCAACTGTGTGTCATCTCACCATCAAATGTGTCACCACATAATCAATTGTGTCACCTAACCATCAACTGTGTCACATCACCATCAACTGTATGTCACCTTACCATCAACTGTGTGTCATCTCATCATCAACTGTGTCACCACACCATCAACTGTGTCACCTCACCATCATCTGTGTGTCACCTCAACTTCAACTGTGTCAACTCACCATCAACTGTGTCACCACACCATCAACTATGTGTCACCTCACAATCAACTGTGTGTCACCTCACAATCAACTGTGTGTCACCTCACAATCAACTGTGTGTCACCCCATAATCATCTGTGTGTCAACTCACCATCAACTGTGTGTCACCTCACCATCAACTGTGTGTCACATAACCATCAACTGTGTCACTACACCATCAACTGTGTGTCACCTCACAATCAACTGTGTCACTACACGATTAACTGTGTGTCACCTCACCATCAATGTTGGTGTGTGTAGCTGATGTTGTGAAGCTGATGCTGTGAAATGTTGGTGTATGTGTCTGATGCTGTGAGGTGTTGGTGTATGTGGCTGGTATTGTGAGGTGTTAGTGTGTGTAACTGATGTTGTGAGGTGTTGGTATGTGTGTCTGATGTTGTGAGGTGTACGTGGCTGATGTTGTGAGGTGTTGGTGTGTGGCTGATGTTGTTAGGTATTGGTGTACGTGGCTGATGTTGTGAGGTGTTGGTGTGTGGCTGATGTTGTTAGGTATTGGTGTACGTGGCTGATGTTGTGAGGTGTGTGTAGCTGTTGGTGGGATTTGTCTGTGTGTAGCTGGTATATGAGTTGTTGTTCTCTGGTTTTAAATTTGGAGTGAATTCAGGTCAACGGAGGCACTGCTTTACTTTATTTATGATATCTAAAAAGAGATCAGTTCAACTGGATCGATTTCTTTTAACATTTTCACGAAAATTAACGATCGATGACAATGCACAGTGACATAAAAAGTGATTTTAAAAAGTACATTTTTCTATATATTATACAAACATTGTGATCGTTATTTTGGTGTACAATTCTTTACTCTTTACACGAGAAACTTCAGGGGAGATCACTCCCGATTTATCTATTTCTATGTACAAGAACGCCGAGTCAAAACATTCTAAACCATATAATCTACGACTTGATTGCAATCCACGTTACACCAGATCCGTATATATGGGTGTCTGCCCACGTGCCGCACACCAGATCGAATCCTGTTGGGGTCACGTTGGTGGGCCCAATCCAGTACCTCGTGTTGGTGTCTTTGTTCAAATCCATCGACGTCATCGACACAAAAACTAAGGGCGCTTTCTCGTACGGCGTTTGAAAAGTTACTTTCACGGTGTTGATTTTTCCAGTGCCTTCTGATGGCATGTAATCTTGCATAGTTCCACACGATGCATAGTTCAGTTCATAGTGAGGATCGCGCTGTTTATCTTGCCATGTTTTCAATTCGTTAACCAGCTTCTGAAGCTCTTGAATGTTGATCAGGCTGTTGTTTCTGTTTTCGTCAACTATCCTCTGAAGTTGTTCAAGGTTGACGTGGTTGCTGTTGCTGCTGACCTCTATGTTGTGTACACCCGTCTCCAGCTGACTGACAAGAGCTGAGAGATTTGTGTTCGAATCTTGCAGATTCTTTGTCACTGTTTGCAGTAGTGTGCTTTCTTCTTTTAGCTGTTTGTTATTGTATTCTAAGTAAATTGTTTTGTTTTTTAGCTCTTTGTTTTCACGGAACAAGTGTTGTACTAATTCTTCATTAGCCAGCATTCTTTTTTCCATTCTTGCTATAAAATCTACTAACTCGTTTTCAATGGGTTGTCGGACTTGAACTGTCAGATTTCCTGCCAACATGACGCCCTGATTGTCCGCGTTTAAACCGTTAATGTTACAGGTGTAAGTTCCGGCTTGCTGGTGATCTGGGTTAGACCAGGTCAGGGAAAGATAACCCGTGACTGGTGAAGTAGTGAAGGTTACGTCCCCTGCAACACTAAGTGTTTGAAAATCGCCGTAAGCAGTGGCTGGGTTACAAGCTGAGACTGAGGCTATTACCTCACCCTTTCCTGAAATAATTGATACAGAAATACATTCGAATTAGTTATCAATCATGCTTGAATTTTAGAGAGCTTATAATGTGTTTCAAAATAAATTTATTTTTGTTTAGCGCAGACGCAATGTATCACTAAAACAAGTTTAAAAAGTATTGTAGTTCAAAGTTTACTATTCACAAACATCTGAAGTGTATGTAAACTGACAGCATATCTAGATTTACTCCTAAACAGAGTTTCTTTCATGCATATTTTCGCCAACGCCCGGACGCAATAGAAATAATAAAAATATTTCACAAAATATAAAATGAAACCAGTCTCCTCCCTCCTCCTGCAAATCTTAAGAGCCCCCCCCCCCCCCCCCTCCTCCCTCGACCTAAGTTTAAAATGCACCGCTCTCGTAAAATTTCTTTAAAAAACCCTATGGTTAATTAGTTTTTAAATACCCAGCTATTTTGAGAGTTACCTCGTGTCACTGTTATAGAGTAGATATTTTTAAACTGGTTGCTCATATCCTGAGTCGACTGAAAACATAGAGTGAGGTCAAAAGTTTATAAACAGATCACCACATGATAATACTGATTGACAATACTAATTGACAATACTGATTGATAATACTGATTGACAATACTGATTGACAATACTAATTGACAATACTAATTGGTGATACTGATTGACAATACTGATTGACAATACTGATTGACAATACTGATTGATAATACTGATTGACAATACTGATTGACAATACTAATTGACAATACTGATTGATAATACTGATTGACAATACTGATTGACAATACTGATTGATAATACTGATTGACAATACTGATTGACAATACTGATTGACAATACTGATTGACAATACTGATTGAATGTGGCTCTATTTTGTTCCCGAAAAAAGCTATGTAAATATATTTTAGATCTAAATGTTTATTATTTATGTGGATTCTAGCCTTACAATATTGTGGTATTTAGATGTTAATTATTTAATATGCTATTTAATCAGCTTTTAAAAGCATTAGTTACAAAATATCTGTCTTTTTATTGATATATCAAATAATGATTAATTAGGGTTTTAAAAGAGATAGCTTATGTATGACAAATATAATTTGTTTATTGTTAATAAAAGCAAATTTTCATATACCAAAGCTAATCTCTGTGTTTATAAACGCCAAATTAGAACATAAATTATCTTACGGTCTTTGAAATAAAAATCTATTTAAATCTCTAAAAATAATTTTACGATCTATTTCAATTTGATTAAAAATTAATATATATATATATATATATATATATATATATATATATATATATATATATATATATATATATATATATATATAAATCTCTGACCTCCAAAGAACAGTTAATCGACAAGGACTGGGTCAAGGCTGTTGTGATTGTTGACGTCGAGGCAGTGAATACCATTTTAGAACCTGGATTCATTTAATAATAAAATAATAAACATCTTTATTTTTGCAATCACGTCTTTGGTAAATATTTCTATTGCAACGACACACGCTAAAAGAAAATTAAATTTTAAAAGAATGAAAAAAAAATATAAGTGTTTACCAGTTTTACTCGGGTATTTAAATTAATACTGAACAATTTTACGTCCATGTACTCCCTAAGTAATAACTTTGTACCCCCTAAGTAATAACATTGTAGGCTACGCCCTAAATAATAACTTTGAACCCGATAAGTAATAACTTTGTACTCCCTAAGTAATAACTTTGTACTCCCTAAGTAATAACTTTGTACTCCCTAAGTAATAACTTTGTACTCCCTAAGTAATAACTTTGTACTCCCTAAGTAATAACTTTGTACCCCCCTAAGTAATAACTTTGTACTCCCCTAAGTAATGACTTTGTACTCCCCTAAGTAATAACTTTGTACTCCCTAAGTAATAACTTTGTACTCCCTAAGTAAACACTTTGTACTTCCTAAGTAATAACTTTGTACCCCCCTAAGTAATAACTTTGTACTCCCTAAGTAATAACTTTGTACTCCCTAAGTAATAACTTTGTACTCCCCTAAGTAATAACTTTGTACCCCATAAGTAATAACTTTGTACCCCATAAGCAATAACTTTGTACTCCCTAAGTAATAACTTTGTACCCCCTAAGTAATAACTTTGTACTCCCTAAGTAATAACTTTGTACTCCCTAAGTAATAACTTTGTACTCCCTAATTGATAAAGTTCTACTCTCTAATTGATAAAGTTCTACTCTCTAATTGATAAAGTTCTACTCTCTAATTGATAAAGTTGTACTCTCTAATTGATAAAGTTCTACTCTCTAATTGATAAAGTTCTACTCTCTAATTGATAAAGTTCTACTCTCTAATTGATAAAGTTCTACTCTCTAATTGATAAAGTTCTACTCTCTAATTGATAAAGTTCTACTCTCTAATTGATAAAGTTCTACTCTCCAATTGATAAAGTTGTACCGCACTAACATAATAGCAGTCTGTACCCACCATGTACCAACGACAGAGATGTACAGGTCACTATGAGGAAGATTATACTTGCAATGGTCATTTTGCTGGCTCCTGGTCGTGATACAGAAAAAATATGCTTATGTTTTCTCATGCTTAATTCATTTATTTATATAAAATATTTGTTGAACACTTTTCTCAGCTTCTACTTACTGTTAAAATTGCCATTATTTCATATTGCACGCTACATGAGAGTTTAAAAAACAAACAAAAACAAATAACGTAAATAAACTGCTTAAGTTATAACTAAATACAAAGTGCATTAATAGACACTACTTTTACCTGTTATCTGTAACTGATAAACGTAAGTAACAATCGGTCTGTCGAGTCATAAACCTCCGTGTTTATATACTGGTCTACCAGGATACACTTGCAGGTCCGGAGGCGACGAATTCAGCATGTAGCGTCAAGTTTACCCTACTCCAGGCATTGACCCAGATAACTTGACACCAGAGGCGTAGCGAGGGGGGTGTGGGGGTGCGGACCGCACCGGGTGACACCATTTAGGGGGGGTGACACCAAGGCAAAAAATAGCAAAATATATAGAGAAAAATGATAATTCCACTTAATTAAGTAATTAATTAAAGTGTTAAATAGTGTTTTAAGAGGTGCAAATCGAAAATTTGAGGGGGGAAACAAATCGAAAGTTTGAGGGGGGGGGTTGCAACTCGAAAGTTTTAAGGGGGGGGGTAAAAGTCGGGAATTTAAAGTTTGTCCCCGGGAAGGGTCGCTACACCTCTGGGGGGTGACACCATTAAGTGCCGCACCGGGTGACACCCGACCTCGCTACGCCACTGCTTGACACTTGGCTGTTTTACATCGGATCCCGAGTACGTCAACAGGTGCGCCCGTATCGTCGTACATGTAATTATACCTGACCCGTATTTTGAGAGGTGTTGTTCATTTTCATTGCGTAGTTACCGATAGAACTGTTAGTAATACGATCCCTAGAAAATAAAACGGATTTTACCATATAGGAGCGGTTAGGTTTGTTAAGTTATACATCATTTGACTTATCAAGCAGTTGGCCTACATGTTTTTGCACAAGTGTTTACAACACTTCATTGGCCAAAGTAAACAAACTTTGTATTCCCATTTTTTGAGTATGCACGTCTCGAAATGAAAGGTTATATCAGAACGTTGTAAAACTTTTTTGTTTCTCTCACATATCTTTAAATAATCTACTTGTATGATATAGCGATTGTACAAAATAAACCGGGAGTGATCTCCCCTAAACTTTCTCAAAAATATTTTAATATAACAGTACGGGGGATGGCATTTCGGGACATAGACAATATTTTTAATAATAGTGCGGGATATTACTAGTACTTTATAAATTCACATGCGGTTTTTTTTTTTTGAGAAATCAGAAGTAGAACTTTTACTTACATGTGAAATTTTATTTATGTATCTGAAATAGTACTCAAGTTATAGGCTTTTGAAAAATTCAAAGTAGAAAAAGTACCACTTCCGGTTATCGGAAATAGCTCAAAAATTGATACAGATCTACGATTTTGATATAATACTTATATATGAAATTTCATCAACCTAGCTATAACGGTACTCAAGTTATCGTGTTTACACACACAGAGACACACAGACACACACACATGCACACACAGACATACGGACAAGATTGCAAAACTATGCTTTTCCGACTGAGGGATCACGTCGATATTTGCAAAAATCTCCATTTTTTTCGCACGATTACAATACTATCTATACTTTGTATATTCGAGAAAGTAAAAATAAACGAACAACAATTCCCGGATGTAACATCTAAACAGGATGTTATGAGGGTGACCGCGTTATAAGCCTAGTTATACAGAAACACAAACACACAAGTTGTCAGTGAAAAACATCCCGTTTTCTCACTCCCACACACTAGAACACACGTTGTCACTCCCACAAACTAGCACACAAGTTGTCACTCCCACACATTCCCACACTAACACACAAGTTGTCACTCCCACACATTCCCACACACTAACACACAAGTTGTCACTCCCACACATTCCCACACACTAACACACAAGTTGTCACTCCCACACACGAATACACAAGTTGTCACTCCCACACATTCCCACACACTAACACACAAGTTGTCACTCCCACACACGAATACACAAGTTGTCACTCCCACACATTCCCACACACTAACACACAAGTTGTCACTCCCACACACGAATACACAAGTTGTCACTCCCACACATTCCCACACACGAAGACACAAGTTGTCACTCCCACACACTCCCACAAACTAACACACAAGTTGTTACTCCCACACACTCCCACACACTAGCACACAAGTTGTCACTCCCACACACTCCCACAAACTAACACACAAGTTGTCACTCCCACACACTCCCACACACTAGCACACAAGTTGTCACTCCCACACACTCCCACAATCTAACACACAAGTTGTTACTCCCACACACTCCCACACACTCCCACACACTCCCACAAACTAACACACAAGTTGTCACTCCCACACACTCCCACAAACTAACACACAAGTTGTCACTCCCACACACTCCCACAAACTAACACACAAGTTGTCACTCCCACACACTCCCACAAACTAACACACAAGTTGTCACTCCCACACACTCCCACAAACTAACACACAAGTTGTCACTCCCACACACTCCCACAAACTAACACACAAGTTGTCACTCCCACACACTCCCACACACTAACACACAAATTGTCACTCCCACACACTCCCACACACTAACACACAAGTTGTCACTCCCACACATTCCCACACACTAACACACAAGTTGTCACTCCCACACATTCCCACACACTAACACACAAGTTGTCACTCCCACACACGAATACACAAGTTGTCACTCCCACACATTCCCATACACGAACACACAAGTTGTCACTCCCACACACTCCCACAAACTAACACACAAGTTGTCACTCCCACACACTCCCACACACTAACACACAAGTTGTCACTCCCACACACTCCCACACACTCCCACACACTCCCACAAACTAACACACAAGTTGTCACTCCCACACACTCCCACAAACTAACACACAAGTTGTCACTCCCACACACTCCCACACACTCCCACAAACTAACACACAAGTTGTTACTCCCACACACTCCCACACACTAACACACAAGTTGTCACTCCCACACACTCCCACAAACTAACACACAAGGTGTTACTCCCACACACTCCCACACACTAACACACAAGTTGTTACTCCCACACACTCCCACAAACTAACACACAAGGTGTTACTCCCACACACTCCCACACACTCCCACACACTCCCACACACTCCCACACACTCCCACACACTCCCACACACTCCCACACACTCCCACACACTCCCACACACTCCCACACACTCCCACACACTCCCACACACTCCCACACACTCCCACACACTCCCACAAACTAACACACAAGTTGTTACTCCCACACACTCCCACACACTAACACACAAGGTGTTACTCCCACACACTCCCACACACTCCCACACACTCCCACACACTCCCACACACTCCCACACACTCCCACACACTCCCACACACTCCCACACACTCCCACACACTCCCACACACTCCCACACACTAACACACAAGTTGTCACTCCCACACACTCCCACACACTAGCACACAAGTTGTTACTCCCACACACTCCCAAACAAGTTGTCACTCCCACACATTCCCACACACTAACACACAAGTTGTCAGTTCCACACACTAACACACAATTTGTCACTCCCACAAACTAGCACACAAATTGTCACTCCCACACACTAGCACACAAGTTGTCACTCCCACACACTAACACACGATGTCACTCACGCACACTCCAAACGAGTTGTCAGTGATAAACATCCCGTTTTCTCACTCCCACACACTAACTACTAGCCTGTACATACATGGTTTCATTCATACACAAAATGAAGGAATACACTTTACCTACTGCCGTGGGTTACTGTCAAAACTTGACTATACTGTGTTGTACAACAAACATTTATCTCGTTCACAATTTCCCCTCCACAATATAGCCTTAATACCCCTCCCCTAAATAACAATTTGAAAAGCATTTTCGTTAAGTAAATGTCAATATTGTAAGTTTTACAATTGTGCTATAACAAAATATCTGTTTTCTTTTGTCTTTCAGTTTATAACGCAAAACTGTTAAAACAGTATTTGATTTTATTTCTAGCATTTGTTATCGCGACTCTACTGTATCAATTCAAAATAAACCGGGAGTGATCTCCCCTAAACTTTCTCGAATATTCTTATATAAAACAACAGGGGATGGGAACTCGGGCTATAGACATGATTTTTACAAGCTTTTATTTAACTCACTTCCTCTGTCTGTCGTCAGTCTAGACGGAAACGCAGGAGTGAAAATTCGGAAACTTCTACTTGACCGATACGATTCACAGTTGGCACGTGGGTCAAGACATGAAGACAATGCAATCTGAAACTAAATTTGAGTTAATTGGATGCCTAATTAATTTTTTATGAATTAATAAAAATTTGGACCGAATTAGTAGGCATGTCTAGCCAACCACACCACACGCGTCATCACCTTCAATAGCTTCAATGGCTGCGTTCAAAAACCATTGCGCGCCTACTGAACGTGATGTTCAGTAGGCGCGCAATGGTTTTTAGTCATGTAACTCTATTGTAAATAAAACATGTAAAGTACTGAAAAAAAAATTCATAAAAAACGTTTTAATAACAAGCTTTTATGTAATGATGCACTGAAAAGTAGAAAATAAATTATAGACTACTATTTAAATAACTATAAAGAAAAGCGTGGGTCTCTTCTCAAATATTAGTAAGGGTATCCAATAGGTACTAAAGTGACCCACGCTTTTCTTTATAGTTATTTAAATAGTAGTCTATAATTTATTTTCTACTTTTTAGTGCATCATTACATAAAAGCTTGTTATTAAAACGTTTTTTATGAATTTTTTTACAAGCTTTTATTTAACTCACTTCCTCGTCAGTCGTCAGTCTAGACGGAAACGCAGGAGTGAAAATTCGGACAGTTCTACTTGACCGATACGATTCACAGTTGGCACGTGGGTCAAGACATGAAGACAATGCAATCTGAATCTAAATTTGACTTAATTGGATGCCTAATTAATTTTTTATGAATTAATTAAAATTTGGACCGAATTAGTAGGCATGTCTAGCCAACCACACCACACGCGTCATCACCTTCAATAGCTGCGCCATCACATAATGGCTGCGTTCAAAAACCATTGCGCGCCTACTGAACGTGATGTTCAGTAGGCGCGCAATGGTTTTTAGTCATGTAACTCTATTGTAAATAAAACATGTAAAGTACTGAAAAAAAATTCATAAAAAACGTTTTAATAACAAGCTTTTATGTAATGATGCACTAAAAAGTAGAAAATAAATTATAGACTACTATTTAAATAACTATAAAGAAAAGCGTGAGTGTCTTCCTTAACATAAGTAAAGGTATCCAATAGATACTAAAGTGACCCACGCTTTTCTTTATAGTTATTTAAATAGTAGTCTATAATTTATTTTCTACTTTTTAGTGCATCATTACATAAAAGCTTGCTATTAAAACGTTTTTTATGAATTTTTTTTTTAATCCATTTTAAATACTTAAAGTTTTAAAAATAGAATACAATCTCGTAGACAAAAGAATTGCACACCAAGTGAACGCCAAATAAAAAAAGTGCATAATAGCGCGCCATATTATTAGTACTTTAAAAATTTACATTAGTTTTTTGAGAAATCGGAAGTAGCGTAATTACTACTTCCGGTCAACGGAAATTACTCAAAATTTAACAGAAGGTAGAGAATTAGATCTTATACTTACATGTGAAATTTCATTTATCTATCTGAAATAGTACTCAAGTTATAGGCTTTTGAAAAATTCAAAGTAGAAAAAGTACCACTTCCGGTTATCGGAAATCGCTCAAAAGTTGTTATGGATCTACGATTTTAATAAAATACTTATATATGAAATTTCATCAACGTAACTGTAACGGTACTCAAGTTATCGTGTTTACACACGGACACACACACACACAGACAGACACACAGACATACGGACAGAATTGCAAAGCCCAGTTATTCAGACTGGATTACGCATAAAACATCTTAATTTTGATAAATCTGGATTGATAATTTTTGCCCGATTAAAATAAGTCCTCTATACTTCGGATGTGACGAAGGACTGAGGTGTAATACGGTGAAAATTTCAAGTGATTTTTGTGCACGATTACAATACTTTCTCTATCTAATATATAAAGCTCAGTTCTGTATGTAATGCATATGTTTGTCGTTGGAATTGTACGATTTTAAGTGTTAGAAAAATTATCGTGCGCATTTGTCTAAATTTATGAGCTAAAAAATTACCATTGAAAGTGTTGGGAAATAATTTTCATTTTTCAAATTATAGTAATAATTGTCGGCATGTTCATTAAACACAAGTTTTAAAAAAAAATATCATCTTTTACAAAAATTCTAATTATGTCTTTATTTAGTCCAATAGCACTTACTTCCCTTTGATAAATTAGGAAAAACACAATTACTTCCCTTTATAAAACCATTGCATTCCGTGAAAATAATTTACTTTTTAATTACTTTGTTTTGGTGTTGGGAAAAAAAATAATTACATAATTAGCGGGGATTGATCAAGTGCAAATGTTGTATGTATTTTACGGATAAGCTTGGAGTATTAAAATTGTTTATTAAATTGAAACAGGCGCGTTCGTTTAAGTGAGTGCAAAAGACTGTGAATAAGTTGGGGTACTATAGTCGTTCATTAAGCTAAAACAGGTGATTCCGCCCCGGGCGTTTATGTTCGCGTTAGTGTTTTCTTTGTGTTTAGGTGGGTTTGCGTTAGTGGTTGCGTTTTAATTTGGTTCGTTTTTGTTCTTTCTTTTTTCGTTTTTGTTTGTGTTTTTTTTTTGTTTGGGTTTGTATTTGTGTTTTTGGTTGGTTTTGCGTTTGGATTTGGTTTGTTTTCGTTTGCTTTTTTCGTTGATTTTTTTGTGTTGGTATTGGTGTTTGTGGTTGGGTTTGTTCTTAGGTTTTTGTTTTCGTTTGCTTTTTTGTTTGTTTTTTCTTTGTGTTTGTATTGGTGTTTGTGGGTGTGGTTGTGTTTGTTGTTAAGTTTTTGTTTTCGTTTGTATTTGTAATTGTGTTAGCGTTATGTTTGCGTTTTGTTGTTTTGGTTTTGGTTGGTTGTGGTTTGGGTGGGCAATGCCGGGTTTATGATGATTACTAAACACACAGGTGATGGTCTTTAACAGAAAGGTTTTTCACAGAAGCCAGAGCAGGGCCTGGCCGGGACGGCTAGTACTTCGTATATACGAGAAAGTAAAAACACGAAGCCTAAACATTTTCTATTGAATCATCTTGAATCTATTTACTTACAAAATACTGCTGGTTAAAATTTGCACACTAGAGTTCTTATAGATTTACGCACCGTTTTACACATTGAAACTTGGTTCGCACTTGTGTGATCACCGGGCGCCATAACTATGTCGTAGGATGTGTGTTGGCGAATTTTGTTTCTCTTTGATCCTCTCAGCAACCAAACTGGACTGGTCTTGGTAGAGAAAGTCCACCATAAGGCAAAAGATGAAGAGTTTATGGTACTTTGTGGTGCTGGTACTTTCAGCCCTTTCCCAGTGCATTGACTGTATAGGTAGACTGTGTGTTGTAGGCTACTTAACTCTAGATATTCAATCATATTCAGTCATATTCAGTCATATTCAGTCATATTCAATCATTTTCAGTCATATTCAATCATATTCAGTCATATTCAATCATATTCAGTCATATTAATCATATTTAATCATATTCAGTCATATTCAATCATATTAAATCATATTCAGTCATATTCAATCATATTCAGTCATATTCAATCATATTCAGTCATATTCAGTCATATTCAATCATATTCAGGTAAAATCACGACATAGCGTCGGAAATTATTGGGTAATGTTTATTGAGTTTCGGTAGCATTCGTTACTGTAAACCATAGTTTATTTGACCGTTGAAATAAAAATAGAGTCAAGTGCATTAAATTAATGTTTTAACTTAATTTAATGTTTAATTGACAAAAAAATCAGCAACAAGTAGTAAATTTAAATATTATTAATAAAGTCGAGTGTAGTAATTAATGCTTTTTTTAAGAAACACAAAAAAAAAACTGCAGAAGATTTGCGACAACTAGCTATAGTTCTGTTAGTAAAATAAGACGATTTGATTTACTAAAGTTAAAGTAATATGAAGAACTAGAACAATGTTTAGTAGCAGCAATAATTAGCACATACACTTAAAATAATTAGAAATACAAAATAATTAGCAAAACAGTATTTAAAATGCAACTAAAATCAATCCATGCACGTTTTTAAACATTATGTATTAAAAATAATATGGGGGCAAATAAATGATGGTTTACAGTATTTCCGGTGGTTTCCTGAACGTGTCGACAGACTACGCCATGGTTTTACTGTTTTTTACTGCTGTACAGTTCCGGAATAACAACCGACGCTATATCGTGATTTTACCCATATTCAATCATAATCGATTATCATGATTTCTTCATCATCATTAATTTCTAGCTCCCCAGACATTAGTCTTGATATTTCCCATTCTGTTAGGTTGGATGCTTTATTAGCCATTTCTGTATCTAATATTCGCCAGCTATAAGGTCAGTCACATTAGTCAAATTAGCAGGGACCGGCGTGGTCGAGTCGGTAAAGCTCATGGTTGCTAAAGTCTCGAGTTCGAACCATAGGGCAAATTAGCTTGTTATCTGGGGACAGTGCTTCACTGGCGTCACATTACACAGTGTGTTGTGGTGCTTCACTGGCGTTACATTACACCGTGTGTTGTGGTGCTGCACTGGCGTTACATTACACCGTGTGTTGTGGTGCTGCACTGGCGTTACATTACACCGTATGTTGTGGTGCTACACTGGCGTCACATTACACAGTGTGTTGTGGTGCTACACTGGCGTTACATTACACCGTGTGTTATGGTGCTACACTGGCGTTACATTACACCGTGTGTTGTGGTGCTACACTGGCGTTACATTACACCGTGTGTTGTGGTGCTACACTGGCGTTACATTACACCGTGTGTTGTGGTGCTGCACTGGCGTTACATTACACCGTGTGTTGTGGTGCTACACTGGCGTTACATTACACCGTGTTTTGTGGTGCTACACTGGCGTTACATTGCACCGTGTGTTGTGGTGCTGCACTGGCGTTATATTACACCGTGTGTTTTGGTGCTGCACTGTCGTTACATTACACTGTGTGTTGTGGTGCTGCACTGGCGTTACATTACACCGTGTGTTGTGATGCTACACTGGCGTTACATTACACCGTGTGTTGTGGTTCTTTACTAGCGTCACATTACACAGTGTGTTGTGCTTTACTGGCGTCACATTACACAGTGTGTTGTACTTTACTGGCGTCACATTACACAGTGTGTTGTGCTTCACTGCATAACATTACACCGTGTGTTGTGGTGCTACACTGGCGTTACATTACACAGTGTGTTGTGCTTTACTGCATAACATTACACAGTGTGTTGTGGTGCTACACTAGCGTCACATTGCACAGTGTGTTGTGGTGCAACACTGGCGTTACATTACACAGTGTGTTGTGGCGCTACACTGGCGTCACATAACAAAGTGTGTTGTGCTTTACTAGCGTAACATTACACAGTGTGTTGTGGTGCTACACTGGCGTTACATTACACCGTGTGTTGTTCTATACTGGCGTCACATTACACCGTTTGTTGTGGTGCTACACTGGCGTCACATTACACAGTGTGTTGTGCTTTACTAGCGTCACATTACACAGTGTGTTGTGGTGCTTCACTGGCGTTACATTACACCGTGTGTTGTGGTGCCTCACTGGCGTGCGTTACATTACACCGTGTGTTGTGGTGCTACACTGGCGTCACATTACACAGTGTGTTGTGGTGATTCACTGGCGTTACATTACACCGTGTGTTGTGGTGCTACACTGGCGTTACATTACACCGTGTATTGTGGTGCTGCACTGGCGTTACATTACATTTGTGTTGTGGTGCTACACTGGCGTTATATTACACCGTGTGTTGTGGTGCTTTATTGGCGTCACATTACACCGTGTGTTGTGGTGCTACACTGGCGTTACATTACACAGTGTGTTGTGGTGCTTTATTGGCGTCACATTACACAGTGTGTTGTGCTTTACTAGCTTCACATTACACAGTGTGTTGTGGTGCTACACTGACGTTACATTACATTTGTGTTGTGGTGCTGCACTGGCGTTACATTACACCGTGTGTTGTGGTGCTGCACTGGCGTTTCAATACACCTGGTTTAAAATGACCCAGCATATAGGACTGGCGTATTAAAGTATTAAATGATTGCTAATATAATAAAACAAAAATCATTTTAAAAATTGGATATTATATGGAATAAAAAGGGCGATTTCTATATATCAGGTCGATTCCTTGTTTATTACTTGAATAGAAAGCAGAGAAAGGTCGTTATTCAATCTTGAATTTACTGTTTAAACTAAGAACATTTTGTTTGCAGGAGACACAATTGAAACTGTTTCCGAGACATTTTTATAAACTTTTAATCAGTCTATTTTGTCAGTGTTGGGTAACTTAGTATTTTAACACTTAGTGTGCTAGTGTTTGTGTTTAAACCAATTGTTAACTGTACCGTGTGTTAGTGTTGTTTCAAAACTAAACGTTAAAATACCGTGTGCTAGTGTTTGTGTTAAAACTGAACGTTAAAATACCGTGTGCTAGTGTTTGAGTTAAAACTGAACGTTAAAATACCGTGTGCTAGTGTTGTTTTAAAAGTAAGCGTTTATATACCGCGTGGAAGTGTTGTTTTAAAACTTAGTGTTAAAATACTTTTTTTGTTTTCAATTACAGTATACACGTACGGTTTCCATTACTGTTGGAATGAACTCTTATCGTTGAAAAAGTTAAAATTAATAGTAACTGATATTTTTTTTTACCAGAACTTGTAAAATCTGCTGATCTGGACCACTTAAAACTTTCTGGTTACGAGCAGTATTGTCACTCATATTGTGTCAATACTGGAAACATAACGGCCTTTTTTTGGTATCCCCGTTACATCAAATATGATCGGATTACTGGCATAAAGGTTTTCGTCATGTACTCTGAAGAGGTCAACCAGTTATACCCAACCAACGGCTGGAAAGCGGTAGGTCTTACTTATGGCAATAATTTCATGCTGTCGTCATTAACTTAGTTTATTTAAACAGTTAAAGACCTAGACTGACAACCCGAGTGTCTCGAGATCGAATCCGGGTTGAAATCAGTTGAACGTCCCTGGGCAACCATCTCTGATGGGTACCTAACTTACGTTAGAGAAACAAAGGCGGCTTGGCATAGTGCTCACGACCTTATCCCTTCATATGCCAATGTCTATGAATCAGATGAGCTCTACTTCATCTGTAATTAAGAACGGGAGGAATATACACATGTGGTGACGTAGAGATTGTCAAGATTAGAAAGAAGTTAGAAATGTGAAATTTTAAAACTAAGAAACAGCCTAAGATCAAGCAGTTGAGAATAGGTAGGAAACAAAGAGATGCGAGATGATGACCGTTCACGCGTAACGACCAGCGGTCATATGATCAAATCAAAGCGCTAGGTCGGTTGGTCACTGAAAAATACAGCAAGCAGTTGATCGGGGGGGGGGGGGGGGCGTTTAATAGAAAGTCGAGTGGTAGCAAGCTGTTGATAGGGTGGGCGTTTAGTAGAAAGTCGAGTGGTAGCAAGCTGTTGATTGGTGGGCGTTTAGTCGAAAGTCGAGTGGTAGCAAGCAGTTGATTGGGTGGGCGTTTAGTAGAAAGTCAATTGGTAGCAAGCTGTTGATTGGGTGGGCGTTTAGTAGAAAACTGAGTAGTAGCAGGCAGTTGATTGGGTGGGCGTTTAGTAGAAAGTCGAGTGGTAGCAGTCAGTTGATTGGGTGAACGTTTAGGAGAAAGTCGAGTGGTAGCAGGCAATTGGATATAGTTTATGTTACTGTAACAACAGTAATATCCATTGTTGTTGTGGGTTCGTTTGATACTAGAACACGAGCAATAGTAGTAACTTTAAACTTTAAACTTTATTTACACTATCCACAATGAAATGATAAATCCATAGTAGAAGAAAAACAACTGGTACAAGTACAATCAAGAATCAAAGTAACGTAGTGACATCCTACTACGCATTCACAGGCAAGCACACTCGTTCACCTTGCGTTCCACCTTTAAACGCAACTTTCTCTCTCCTTTCGTCAGAGAACGATCTCACAAAAAAGCATGTAAATACATGACGAGTCGCTCACACTTACTTCCGTTGGCCAGGTACTCTACATTCACGCAACTTCATGTCAATTACAATATACATAATAATTCAGTCTGTTACAGTTACAAGCTAGTGGAGCAGAGGTTGTGTATTAGTCAGGAGTTTAGTAGAACGTCAGGTGATAGAAAGTGTATAGAATAGTTCAGGGGTCGGCAACCTGTGGCTCGGGAGCCGCATGCGGCTCTTTTGATGTCAAGGTGCGGCTCTTCAGCTTTATGCACAAATATTAATAATTATTTTATTTATAAACTCATGAAAATATTAGTCTGAAACACTCGGTAATGAACGATATAATAATAAATATAAACAAAAACACTCGCTATTCTATTAGAATATTTAGTTACTAAATTTTTCAATGTACTTCCTTGTTTTCTAAAACTGAGTTATTTAAATGTAAACAATGCCTATGCTTGGATCATATTTATTGGGGCACGGATTTACCTAAACTACCGCCCAGCACGCCATGGGGCATGTTGTATGAAAGCCTTGTGTATACGTTAATCACTCACCATAATATCACCGTTAATCACTCACCGCTTAAGTGTCGGGGACAGAGAGTGGCGCTCTCGTGAACACGATTTCACTATTGCAGGAGCACCACGTACGGCCCCTAGCTCGGTTTAATCATCGAATTTCTTGTGCCGCATTATCAATATTGTAGGGTGCTCCTTAAAACTAACGCGGAAGCGTAGTGTTCGCGGGATAGCACTGGGCGCCAAATCGCACCCTGCAAAGACGTCGGAGGACGCGCCTAATTCGATTTAGTGAGCGACAATAGCAGCCCACTATATCGAAAATGAACATGGTGCTCACGGGTAAGCCCGGGGCGCCAAATCGCCCCATGCTTGCACGCCGGAGGCCGCTCCTGTTTCGATTAAGTCAACGATTATTGTTGAAATTTCCCCTGGAATGTGCCAATCAACTTACCGAAAGTCAATCAGCAATCGACTTTTGATTTTATAAAACAAATCACTCCCTGCCGGGGCGCTACCCCTGCGAATTTGACTTTTATTTTTCGCAGATACCTCCCCAGGAGTATTCTCAACAACTTCCTAAAGTTTCATGGCAATCGGATAAAAGTCATGAGTAAAAGACAATCAGACACACACACACACACCTATATATATATATATATATATATATATATATATATATATATATATATATATATATATATATATATATACACGTATATATATATACGTATATATATATATATATATATATATATATATATATATATATATATATATATATATATATATATATATATATATATATATATATATATATATATATATATATATATATATATGTATGTATATATATACCTAATCTAATCAAAGATTGTAATATTGAAATTAAAATGTTAGTAGCTCTTTGAAAGCTGGGCAGTTTTGTAAATTGTAACTTTTGGCTCTTCTGTCTCAAAAAGTTGCCCACCCCTGGGCTAGTTAGTATATAAGTATATAACTATTATAAGTTAGGAGTAGGATACTTTGAACTTATATATATATATATATATATATATATATATATATATATATATATATATATATATATATATATATATATATATATATATATATATAATATGGCAAACAACTCCTCCCAAAACAATATCGAACGGGTGGGGTGGTAAATGTGATGTAGAGTGAGCATGATAAGCGTTGCGTGTATGTCTGTAGCTGGGTAAATTGTGTATAGTTTGAGTATGGAAGGGGTAGATACAGTAAGGTAGTTTGAAGATGAGAGGATGAAATGTGAAGCAGGGCCGGAACTACAGTGCCGCCAGATTCCACAATGCGGGGGGGGGGGGGGGGAGAGGCAAGCCGTTTAGTGGCCTATACCCGACCATAATCAATTTTTCAATAGTTAAAAAACAATTTCTTGTAAAAAAGAAAAACAGATATACTACAGTAGTGATGTTCTACAGTAACTAACACACGCTGTTTCGTTAAGGAAAAAAAAATTATATGGTCTACATGAGTTGTAGTGTGACGATAGGCAAACGTTCAAACCACTTCCATGACTTATCTCCCTTTTTAAATAGTCAAATATGTGTGTTCTAAAGAAACTTTTAATAAACAAATTAAAAAGCAATTACTTCACTTAATTATTATTTTAAAAAAAACATAATAAAGAATGATATAGTATGAAAAAAAATGTATTTAAAACTAATAATATAAATACAAATAAACATACACATAAGGCGAGAAACCATGACACATATAAAGCGTTTATGCTTCGATTTCTTTTGTCCGTCTTGTAATCAAGGAAGCATCATGTCAAACATTAAAATAGAGAGTTTCAAAGCAGACTAATATCACTCACACAAATTATATGTTTTGTTTTTTTTTAAAATTAATAATTAAAAATAAAAACTAAGAACTTTATTTTTTTCAAATTTCGAACAATAGCGTATTGAGTATTCTATGTTAGTATTTTCGTATATATATATATATATATATATATATATATATATATATATATATATATATATATTGAGTATTGAAGGATATGTATAGCATGACATTGTATGGATGTGATGTGTATAAACGTGGTATTGTGTGGAGAAGTGTGGGAATGTAAGTACTCTACTTGAGGAAGTCTGTGTATTGGAGAGGCGAATAACGAAACAAATTAAATGTTTGAGTGATTACAACATTTTCGTTTTGAGAAAATTAATTAAACCTAGGTACTAAGTTTTATTTAATTAAAACGGTGAATTACTTCTTCATATATACGTAGGTATTATGTTTTATCCAGAGCCGGCGTTAGGAATACGCGGGGCCTAAGGCCAACCATCCATATATATGTGTGTGTGTATATATATATATATGTATATATATATATATATATATATATATATATATATATATATATATATATATATATATATATATATATATATATATATATATATATATAACGGTGAATTACTTCTTCATATATACATAGGTATTATGTTTTATCTCTCATACCTCAAATAATATACACTGTGTCGTAAAAGCATTTCGATTCTCCGGGAACAGTGAGCCTGAAATATGTACCTAACTTTCGGATATAATCACACTCCACTGGTGTTTTGTTTTTAAAGTCATCCTTTTCAAAGCCAAGCGATAATAAACAGAAGCAATGCCAGTTATGCGCCAGTGTTCCTGGTGTACGTTCTGTGATTTTCACGCAGTCGAGATGAGAAATTTGTTAAACTAACTAGACAGGGGTGTACGAACGTGGTGTATATCCGCCCACCCATTTGGCAATTTAAAAGAAATGCAAATATCAATAAAAAGTTTGCCAATCTTTTAGACAAAGTTTTGTGTATATGTTTTAAATATTTTACCCCGGGAAGCGTAGGTTAGAGACGGTAGAATATAGATATGCTTTGGTAACTATTAGATGCCTCCTGAAATAAAACTTGAACCCCCATCCCCACCCTTCCTTTCACCCCAAACTAATGCACGTTTCAAAGCGTACTATCCTTATATTATACTAGGCATGCTGCCCAGCTTCGCTTAGGCTTTCGAAAACATTGAGAATTTGAATGCTTAATTAATTCGCCCGAAGGTCGGTCTACGACCTCAAGAGTTATGAAGAGGTTCCTCCGTGGACATTTTTTTTCGATTTATAGCTCATATAAGGTACCGGTCAGTCGAGGTCAGTTTTGACCCCCACATCGTAGACTTTTCGGCCAACCGGCCCCCGTGTTCTGTCGCACCAAGGCAAGATCATGCCAAATTTGAAGCGCCTGCGGCGCCGGGAAGTGCCATATCGGACACCCGACAATCTAGATCTAGATCTAGATTCCTAAAAGAATTTTTTTTTAAAGTTTAGCCCGAGCATAATAAAAAAGAATACATTATCCAAGTTGACTTGCTGTGTCTCGAACCCGCACCACCTGCGTGGTTTAATGTACACTAACATCTCCGCTATTTAGGCACCTTACAAAATACGGAGAATGAAACACGTATTTTAAAATCTTAACTTACGCGAATATGCCTATTCTTTCAAATTAATTTTTTTATCCCAAATTAGCCAGTTCCAGAGATTTTGTATAAAATAAATAAGTCTTGAAATAGTTTAGTCCTAATATAGAAATTTATTTTTGGAATTGATTTTAGAGAAGTTAGAGTCTAAATCTAGATCTTAGCGTCTACGTCTAGATCTAGTTATTGCGTAGATTTAGATTTAGATTTAGTCTAGATCTAGAATCTTTAGATCTAGAATCCAAATACATAAAATAAATTTTATGAGTTTAGGCCGGAAAAATTGTATTGTATACATTTCATAGTGTACGTAGATCTAAATCAAATTTGAATGAAATAGTTCATTTCTTTTCATTCTAAACACGGCAGATGACGTCATTAGTTAATGTATAAGCAATAGTGACGTCACAGTTTAGCGTTCTTTTTCACATATATTAATGCTTTTCCGGTTGCATAAATAATACTGTTTCTCTACATTCGAATACGCCTTTAATTTTTATTTTTCTTCTTTAACTAAAATTGTGGTTATACATTTAAAACATCTAATATATTATTTTCAACAAAAGTCCGTAAAAAGTTCTTCATATATCGCTGCCGATTCTGACGTGATGTCCGGCGAAAATTTTTTGCGGACAGACAGAGAGAGAGAGAGAGAGAGAGAGAGAGAGAGAGAGAGAGAGAGAGAGAGAGAGAGAGAGAGATGTGCGAACGTGGGGATTTATATATTAGGATGTAAATTATTTTCTGAAAATTCCTCCAGATAGAGTTAATATTTAAATTAACAATCTTTAAAATGATATTCTCGTGTTTATTTTTCAGTATTGCAATATGAACGTCCACTACCACGGAAATGGGAAGGTTACATGTTATAGAGATAAATTTCCATGCTGGTGCTTTGACAAAGATGGAATCTCAAGGATGAAGTTTTTCCCTTACCGTTACCCAGCCTTCTATCAGATTCAGGTTCAATATGAAGGACAGAGCATCTACACCGGATACTTACAAAGTAGCAATTGGTTTCATCATAAGCAAAATCGAGGTAAGTTCAAGGCTGAAATATAAGTAACTTATTACAACAAACCATTCACTGCTTAATGGGTTTACTGTATCATACTAAAAAACATACATTGCACATCCATACATACATTGGTTATTATAGAAAGAGAGAGACATCTTGTGGTGGAAAGAGAGGGGTGTGGGGGTGTGGTGGGATGTATTGGACAACGATGATGCTGATGTTAAAGAATGGTTTCATCAAAGGGAGATATTAATGATATTGAATGGTTTCATAAAAAGAGATACGAATGATATTGAATGGTTTCATCAAAGGGAGATGCTGACGATATTGAATGGTTTCATCAAAGGGAGATGCTGATGATATTGAATGGTTTCATCAAAGGGAGATGCTAATGATATTGAATAGTTTCATCAAAGGGAGATGTTGATGATGTTGAATGCTTTGTTCAAAGGGAGATGCTCATTATATTGAATAGTTTCATCAAAGGGAGATGTTGATGATAAAGACTGATCACAAAGAATCGGTAAAGGGAAACAACTGGAACAAAACTCTAATTTATTATAAAGATTGCTACAGATTACGTTCCTAAAGCTTTAGGAAGATTTTGACACGTCTTGTGATTTAATCGACAGAGAACGAACTATACCATAAGTCATATTGGAAATACAAGCCAGAATTAGGCAGTTGCCATTAGCACTCCAGCGACACCGTCTAGTCAGGTATGTGATAGATTTGCCTATTTTAACGTTATATATTCAGATGACTGCTATCATTATACATAGACAGATATTACCAAAAGTAATAAACACAAATGCGTAATAAAAATACCATTTTACTTTCAGTATGGGTAAACGATAACATTTTACATTCAGTTTGGGTAAACGATAAACATTTTACTTTCAGTATGGGTAAACGATAACATTTTACTTTCAGTATGGGTAAACGATAACATTTTACTTTCAGAACGGGTAACGATAACATTTTACTTTCAGTATGGGTAAACAATAACAGTTTCATTTCAGTATGGATGAACGATAACATTTTACTTTCAGTATGGGTAAACAATAACAGTTTCATTTCAGTATGGATGAACGATAACATTTTACTTTCAGTATGGGTAAACGATAACATTTTACTTTCAGTAAGGGTAAACAATAACAGTTTCATTTCAGTATGGATGAACGATAACATTTTACTTTCAGTATGGGTAAACGATAACATTTTACTTTCAGTATGGGTAAACAATAACAGTTTCATTTCAGTATGGGTAAACTATAACATTTTATTTTCAGTATGGGTAAACGATAACATTTTACTTTCAGTATGGGTAAACGATAAACATTTTACTTTCAGTATAATTAAACGATACCATTTTACTTTCAATATGGGTAAACGATAACATTTTACGTTCACTATGGGTAAACGACAACATTTTACTTTCAGTACGGGTAAACGATAACATTTTACTTTCAGTATGGGTAAACGCTAACATTTTACTTTCAGTATGGGTAAACGATAACATTTTACTTTCAGTATGGGTAAACGATAACATTTTACTTTCAGTATGGGTAAACGATAGCATTTTACTTTTAGTATGGTTAAAGGATAACATTTTACTTTCACTATGGGTAAACAATAACAGTTTCATTTTAGTACTGGTTAAACAATAACATTTTACTTTCAGTATGGGTAAACGATAACATTTTACTTTCAGTACAGGTAAACGATAACATTTTAATTTCAGAATCGGTAAACCATAAACATTTTACTTTTCAGTATGGGTAAATGATAACAGTAAACAATAACAGTTTCATTTTAGTACTGGTTAAACAATAACATTTTACTTTCAGTATGGGTAATCGATAAACATTTTACTTTAAGTATTGGTAAACGATAACATTTTACTTTTAGTACGGGTAAACGATAACATTTTAGACATTTGATTTACCCAACCGCATATATACATTAGATTTAAAAAACTGCATATATCCATTTAATTTTACCATCTCGTATATATCCATTTGATTTAAACAACCATTCATATATCCATTAGGTTTACCCAACCGCATATATCCATTAGATTTAACAATCTGCATATATCAATTCAATTGTACCAACCCGCATATATCCATTTGATTTAACAAACTGCATATATCCATTAGGTTTACCCAACCGTATATATCCATTAGATTTAACAAACTGCATATATCCATTTAATTGTACCAACCCGCATATATCCATTTGATTTAACAAACTGCATATATCCATTAGGTTTACCCAATCGTATATATCCATTAGATTTAACAAACTGCATATATCCATTCAGTTTTACCAACCCGCATATATCAATTTGATTTAACCAACCAGCATATATCCATTTCATTTAACCAATCTCGGGCAGACGAGGCTCGTTAGCTGGGGACAGCCACTCTTCTAGGAGAGACAACTCCAAAATTAAACATTGCTGCCTTGTAGTTTGTTCTTGGTTGGACAAAAGCTATGGAAGCAAATCCAAAAAGAAAAGCAGGCTGAAATCGGAGTCAATGGCCTCAATGGCGCATAACCAGTTGACACGTAACGCTTAATTGTGTTGGAGGCGTGGTCGAGTCGGCAAAAAGATCATGGTTGATAAATTTGAACAAAGTCTCAAGTTCAAACGCACTTGCAGATAAATCTCGATCCCCTTCAACACTAAAAATTAAGAACGAAGAAGAAGAAGAATTTAACCAACCCACTTCTATGCATTTGATTTAACCACCCAACATATATTCATTAGGTTTACCCAACCGCATATATCCATTAGATTTAACAAACTGCATATATCCATTCAATTTTACCAACCCGCATATATCCATTTAATTTAACAAACTGCATATATCCATTCAATTTTACCAACCCGCATATATCCATTTAATTTAACAAACTGCATATATCCATTCAATTTTATCAACCCGCATATATCCATTAGATTTCACCAACCCACAGGACTATCTGTCATGTATTTTACGGCTAATCTCCTTTTTTCATGTATTCCACAGAGAGTAGTTTTTCCGTGAACATGAGTCCTGTCAGCACCAGTCTCCTGAACAAACATGTTAGACACACATTTTATTCCAGTTTGTTTTTCAACGTATGTTTTTTAAAAAAATTGTACGGTAATAACGAAGAACAAAAACGCGAATGGATTTAGTTCATGTACACGGAAGATTTTAATTATTGCAAACTGTTTTTTGGTTGCTAATTATGCTCTATTAACAATTAGCTAGTATAACCACTAATTGTTTTTTTTACTGTTATTTTAGTTAAATTTGTCTAATTAAAAATAATATAGAAGAAAAAAAAAGATCTTTTTAAGTTCTTTGAATGGCGTTTCATTAAAATATGTCTTTAACTTTTAATTAAGAACTAATATTATTGTATGTTAATAAATATTCATATTTACATTATTTCACACTTTTTTACTTTCTCGTATATACGAAGTATAGAGAAAGTATTGTAATCGTGCAAAAAAAAAAATCGAGATTTTTACAAATCTCCACGTTTTACATCTCACTGATACGGAAAAACATAGTTTTGCAATCTTGTCCGTATGTCTGTGTGTCTGTCTGTGTGTCTGTGTGTGTGTGTGTGTGTGTGTGTGTGTGTAAATACGATAACTTGAGTACCGTTACAGCTAGGTTGATGAAATTTCATATATAAGTATTTCATCAAAATCGTAGATCCGTATCAACTTTTGAGCGATTTCCGATAACCGGAAGTGGTAGTTTTTCTACTTTGAATTTTTCAAAAGCCTGTAACTTGAGTATAATTTCAGATAGATAAATGAAATTTCACATGTAAGTAAAAGATCTAATTCTCTACCTTCCGTCAAATTTTGAATAATTTGCGTTGAACGGAAGTACTAATTTACGCTATTTCCGATTTCTCAAAAACGCATTTAAATTTATAAAGTGCTAATAATATTGCGCACTATTATGCACATCTCAAATTTGGCGTATTTAAAATGGATTAAAAATCATGTCTATAGCCCGAGTTCCCATCCCCTGTTATTTTATATAAGAATATTCGAGAAAGTTTAGGGGAGATCACTCCCGGTTTATTATATTTTAACATTGTGCGACAGTTTTTTGTAGTAAAAATAATATAAACATCTTTCAAGTTCTTTGAATTGTGTGAAAACTGTTTTCTTAAACAGTATAACTAAATAAGGATGTGCTTTGAGTAGAAAATGAGAAATCTAAGTGTGCTGTGTGGTTGACATACATCTGATTGCACGAAATCTTAAGTGTGTGGTTATCCAGGGTAGTGTAATTGGCGTTGTGTGTTCTTATAAATTATTTCACTGTTACACGGAACGTTTTTTTTTTTAAATTTTTTCAGTTGAATATTTTCATTTACACTTCATTATGTAAATAATGGCCCAGTAGTTTTGTTCACTCATTAATATCCAAAGACATAACTAGAATAAACGTAACAGATTCACAGACGCTAAAATGTGTTGTCTTAGCGTAAAGATTTTGACTATTGTCTCTTACATGAGTCGAAGAGTGACACGGAAAATAATAATTTTCAGTATACATTATAATAATTATTTATAGATATTGAACAAAAATGTTCGTTGTCATAGTTTCACTAGACATATTTTGTTAAAAGGTAACAAGAAGTTTACAATTTGACTGTTGGGAAGACGTAGGGTGTCTAGTTGACCAAAATATTTACATATTGTTGATATAGAATAGATACATATATTATGTCATGGTAAAAAGTAAATATACACTGCTATAGATCGCAACATATAGTCCCATTGTATTCTTTACGAAAGAACTTGTCTGATACATAAGAAGATGTAGTTTAATCTTTAGTATATAACGAAGGCTTAACTTCTATTCATTTAACTTCCAAGAAATTGTAGTAAAAATTTTTTTTTTATTGATAATATTGTTAAAGTGGAAATAGAAATATCAGAGACTATCAGGCACACATATAACACCTGATGTATCCATCTTAATTTCACCGAGTAGACATTACATAACGACACTGTTTTAGTAGTTATAGATACTACATTATTCAGTGTCGTAATTTAAAATTTTAGCACATTAAGCTGTGCTGTAGTACTTGATGAAGACGGCAAACATGTCAGCAATAGTCACATCGCCGTTGGTCCAGTTCTGAGGTTCATTCTGCCTGGAATATTTGAAAACCAGGAACGTTCTGTTCCCAAGGGCAATTACCGTTGGTTCTGTCCACGGCGACGAACCAGCCTTTGTCTTCTGGACATCCATTGTAGTTACTGTTGATGAAGAAGGTCCTGGTCAGTTCTGGCCTGACGTCCCCTTCAATGGAGAAGTAGTTGGTGGCGTCTGTCTTGATTTGTTTCCAAGTGGTGAACAGAACTCTGGACTTGTTGAACCAGCTGATGGAGGTAGAGTCTTGACCGTCAAACAAAATGTCGCCCACTCTGGTGTAGTTGGAGTACACGATGAAGGCGACCTCCTTAACTCTGTCCCAGTTGTCGAAGACTTCGGAGTTCCTGTAGTGGTTGTTGCAGGGTAGGGGGGCGGTGACCTAACATAAAATTCATTTATAATAAAGCGAAGTTTCAATAAACTACTTTGCAACAATAAGGGCGTAGGCAATAAAATAAAAAACCAATGTTTTGTTTTATTTTTTATATCAAATATTCCTTTTACTATTACCGTGCTTTCAAGAAAGCCCATATTCTTATTTCCTCGTAATTTCGTAATTTCAAAACAGCTTTTGGTTAATTTATTTTTGCTATTGTGGTTAAGGAGATTGATATGTTGAATATTTGCTGATAATAATTGTTTTCTAGATTATTCCATGTTTAACGTAATTAAATGAAAAAAACACTCACCTGTTTACATCCGGGTTCTACATCACTCGGGATCCCAGTGGCGTCATGAAAGGCGGCGTTGACAGATTTTCCTACGTAAGCTGTACCATGAAACGTCAGTGTCCAATCACCACTTTCAGTTTGCGTAGGCTGAAAATGTTTCATATTTTCTAAAATATTGCAACATTTAATTTATAACTGAGCATAGATTAAAAAGAATAAAGCCTTTACTTACACTTTCACATTTCCCCACATCATGTTAATCAATACATGTCTACACTACGATTTGAGTTTTGTAAAGTTTTTACTATTACATACAGCGACAATTTTTGTTGTAAAATTATTAATGGTTTGATGTCTAACCTAGGTTATGTTTGCCTCGTTCCTTAATTGGATGGTCTCTGCTTCCAGATATCCAACCACAGTTTCCAGAGAATCCACCCGTTTGTTCTGATTATAGCAGCAGTTCTCTAACACAGCTGTTTTGTTTTCCAGCTCTTTTGTCTTCTTTGCCACTTCTTTAACTAATTCTTCATTAGCCGAAAGTCTCTTTTCAGTCTTTACAATAACATCTACCAACTCATTCACAATGGGTTCATTGACTTGAACTGTCAGATTTCCAGTTAACATGACCCCATGGTTGTCAGATTTCAAACCGTTAATGTTACAAGTGTAAGTTCCGCCTTGCTGCTGATCTGGGTTAGACCAGGTCAGGGAAAGATAACCCGTGACTGGTGAAGTAGTGAAGGTTACGTCCCCTGCAACACTAAGTGTTTGAAAGTCGCTGTTAGCTGTGGCTGGATTACAAGCTGAGACTGAGGCTATTACCTCACTATCTTCTAACGATTAGAAATAAAAACCCCGTTAATTTATTTATTAAATTACATTGACAAAATGAAAAAGGAGTTAAGACATAAATGACAGAAATAAGAAATTCACATTAAAATATCACACTCTATAAAGTATTACTAAGTAGAATAGTAGATCTAGAATGTATAATTAACTAAACTATTTTATTGATATTACTAATGTAGCGTCAAGTCAGTTTAGTATACTCCAAGCCTGACCCAGCGAGATAACTTGACACCAGAGGCGTACCGAGGGGGGTGCAGGGGTGCGGACCACACCGGGTGACAACATTTAGGGGGGTGACACCAAGGCAAAAAATAGCAAAATATATAGAGAAAAATGATAATACCACTTAATTAAGTGATTAATTCAAGTGTTAAATAGTCTTTTAATAGGTGCACATCGAAAATTTGAGGGGGGTGATGCAAATCGAAAGTTTGAGGGGGGGGGGGGTGCAAATCAAAAGTTTGAGGGGGGGGATGCAAATCGGGAATTTAAAGTTTGTCCCCGGGAAGGGTCGCTACACCTCTTGGGTGTGACACCATTAAGTGCCGCACCGGGTGACACCCGACCTCGCTACGCCACTGCTTGACACTTGGCTGTTTTACATCGGATCTCGAGTACGTCAACAGGTGCGACCGTATCGTCGTACAGGTAATTATACCTGACCCGTATTTTGAGAGGTGTTGTTCATTTTCATTGCGTAGTTACCGATAGAACTGTTAGTAATACGATCCCTCGAAAATAAAACGGATTTTACCATATAGGAGCGGTTACGTTTGTTAAGTTATACATCATTTGACTTATCAAGCAGTTGGCCTACATGTTTTTGCATATGTGTTTACAATACTTCATTGGCCAAAGTAAACAAACTTTGTATTCCCATTTTTTGAGTATGCACGTCTCGAAAGGTTATATCAGAACGTTGTAAAACTTTTTTGTTTCTCTCACATATCTTTAAATAATCTACTTGTATGATATAGCGATTGTACAAAATAAACCGGGAGTGATCTACCCTAAACTTTCTCGAATATTCTAATATAACACTACGGGGGATGGCAACTCGGGACGTAGACAATATTTTTAATCCATTTTTAATTACCTAAACTTTTTATAATAGAATATAATCTCGTAGAAAAAGAATTGCACACCAAGTGAACGCCAAATAAAATGTGCAAAATAGTGCGGGATAATATTAGTACTTTATAAATTCAAATTTTTTTTTGAGAAATCGGAAATAGCGTAAATTACTACTTCCGGTCGACGGAAATTACTTAAATGTGATAGATGGCAGAAAATTAGAACTTTCACTTACGTGTGGAGTTTTATTCATGTATCTGAAATAGTACTCAAGTTATAGCCTTTTGAAAAAAATTAAAGTAGAAAAAGTTCCATTTCCGGTTATCGAAAATGGCTCAAAATTTGATACGGATCTACGATTTTGATAAATTACATATATATGAAATTTCATCAACCTAGCTATAACGGTACTCAAGTTATCGTGTTTACACACACACAGACACACAGACACACAGACACACAGACACACAGACACACAGACACACAGACACACATACACACACAAACATACGGACAAGATTGAAAAACTATGTTTTTCCGACTTTTAGCGAGCACTAAAATGCCGATATTTGCAAAAATCTCCTTTTTTTGCACGATTACAAGACTCTCTATACTTCGTATATTTGAGAAAGTAAAAATAAACGAACAATTCCCGGAATGAACATGAACACAAAATGTTATGAGGGTGACCGCGTTATAAGCCTCGTTATACAGAAACACTAACACACAAGTTGTCAGTGAAAAACATCCCGTTTTCTCACTCCCACACACTAGTACACACGTTATCACTCCCACACACTAGCACACACGTTGTCACTCCCACACACTAGCACACAAGTTGTCACTCCCACACACTAGCACACACGTTGTCACTCCTACACACTAACACACACGTTGTCACTCCCACACACTAGCACACAAGTTGTCACTTCCACACACTAGCACACAAGTTGTCACTCCCACACACTAGCACACACGTTGTCACTCCCACACACTAACACACACGTTATCACTCCCACACACTAGCACACAAGTTGTCACTCCCACACACTAGCACACACGTTGTCACTCCTACACACTAACACACACGTTGTCACTCCTACACACTAACACACACGTTGTCACTCCCACACACTATCACACAAGTTGTTACTCCCTCACACTAATACACAAGTTGTCACTCCCACACACGAATACACACTAGCACACAAGTTGTCACTCCCACACACTAACACACACGTTGTCACTCCCACACACTAGCCCACAAGTTGTCACTTCCACACACTAACACACAATTTGTCACTCCTACACACTAGCGCACAAATTGCCACTCCCTCACACTAACACACACGTTGTCACTCCCGCACACTCCAAACGAGTTGTCATTGATAAACATCCCGTTTTCTCACTCCCACACACTAACTACTAGCCTGTACATGCATGGTTTCATTCATACACAAAATGAAGGAATACACTTTACCTACTGCCGTGGGTCACTGTCAAAACTTGACTATACTGTGTGGTAAAACAAGTATTTATCTCGCTCACAATTTCCCCTCCTTAACATAGCCTTAATACCCCTCCTCTAAATAACAATTTGAAAAGCATTTTCGTGAATTTTTGGTTTACAAAATGTAACTATATAACTTTTCAAACACTAATTCATTGCTTGCTGATGACTGACGTTAGCGCTTCTAAGTAAATGTCAATATTGTAAGTTCTATAATAGTGCTAAAACAAAATCTCTGTTTTCTCTTGTCTTTCAGTTTATAACGCAAAACTGTTAAAACAGTATTTGATTTGATTTCTAGCGTTTGTTATCGCGACTCTACTGTATCAATTCGAAAACACGAAGCCTAAACATTTTCTATTGAATCATCTTGAATCTATTTACTTACAAAATACTGCTGGTTAAAATTTGCACACTAGAGTTCTAATATATTTACGCACCGTTTTACACATTGAAACTTGGTTCGCACTTGTGTGATCACCGGGCGCCGTAGGATGTGTGTTGGCGAATTTTGTTTCTCTTTGCTCCTCTCAGCAACCAAACTGGACTGGTCTTGGTAGAGAAAGTTTACCATAAGGCAAAAGATGAAAAGTTTATGGTACTTTGTGGTGCTGGTACTTTCAACCCTTTCCCAGTGCATTGACTGTATAGGTAGACTGTGTGTTGTACTTAACTCTAGATAATCAATCATATTCAATCATTTTCAGTCATATTCAATCATATTCAGTCATGTTCAGTCATATTCAATCATATTCAGTAATATTCAATCATATTTAATCATATTCAGTCATATTCAATCATATTAAATCATATTCAGCCATATTCAATCACATTCAGTCATATTCAATCATATTCAGTCATATTCAGTCATATTCAATCATATTCAGGTAAAATCACGACATAGCTTCGGAAATTATTGGGTAATGTTTATTGAGTTTCGGTAACATTCTTTACTGTAAACCATAGTTTATTTGACCGTTGAAATAAAAAATAGAGTCAAGTGCATTAAATTATTGTTTTAACTTAATTTAATGTTTAATTGACAAAAAGTTGGCAACAAATAGTAAATTTAAATATTATTAATCGAGTGTAATAAGTAATTTTTTTTTATGAAACACAGAAAAACCTGCAGAAGATTTGCGACAACTAGCTCTAGTTCTGTTAGTAAAATAAGACGATTTGATTTACTAAAGTTAAAGTAATAAGAAGAACTAGAACAATGTTTAGTAGCAGCAATAACTAGCACATACACTTAAAATAATTAGAAATACAAAATAATTAGCAAAACAGTATTTAAAATGCAACTAAAATCAATCCTTGCACATTTTTAAACATTATGTATTAAAAATAATATGGCGGCAAATAAATGATGGTTTACAGTATTTCCGGTGGTTTCCGGAACGGCTCGACAGACTACGCCATGGTTTTACTGTTGTTTTTTTTTACTGCTGTACAGTTCCGGAATAATAACCGACGCTATATCGTGATTTTACCCATATTCAATCATAATCTATCATTATTATCATTTCTTCATCATCTCGCTTTTCTGTGATCTGTTTTAAAATGACCCAGCATAAAGGACAAGTATTAAATGATTGCTAATATAATAAAACAAAAACCATTTTAAAATTATATGGAACTAGCCGTCCCGGCCAGGCCCTGCTCTGGCTTCTGTGAAAAACCTTTCCGTTAAAGACCATTACCTGTGTGTTTAGTAATCATCATAAACCCGGCATTGCCCACCCAAACCACAACCAACCAAAACAACAAAACGCAAACATAACGCTAACACAATTAGAAATACAAACGAAAACAAAAACCTAACAACAAACCCAACCACAACCACAAACACCAATACAAACACAAAGAAAAAACAAACGAAAACAAAAACCTAACAACAAACCCAACCACAAACACCAATACCAAAAAAAAAACAACGAAAAAGCAAACGAAAACAAACCAAATCCAAACGCAAAACCAACCAAAAACACAAATACAAACCCAAACAAAAAAAAAAAACAAAAACGAAAAAAGAAAGAACAAAAACGAACCAAATCAAAACGCAACCACTAACGCAAACCCACCTAAACACAAAGAAAACACTAACGCGAACATAAACGCCCGGGGCAGAATCGCCTGTTTTAGCTTAATAAACGACTATAGTACCCCAACTTATTCATAGTTTTTGCACTCACTTAAACGAACGCGCCTGTTTCAATTTAATGAACAATTATAATACTCCAAGCTTATCCGTAAAATACCTAAAACATTTGCACTTGATCAATCCCCGCTAATTATGTAATTATTTTTTTCCCAACACCAAAACAAAGTAATTAAAAAGTAAATGCTTTTCAACTAATGCAATGATTTCATAAAGGGAAGTAATTGTGTTTTGCCTAATTTATCAAAGGGAAGTAAGCGCTATAGGACTAAATAAAAACATAATTAGAATTTTTGTAAAAGATGATATTTTTTTTAAAACTTGTGTTTAATGAACATGCCGACAATTATTACTATAATTTGAAAAATGAAAATGATTTCCCAACACTTTTAATAGTAATTTTTTAACTCATAAATTTAGACAAACGCGCACGATAATTGATCTAACACTTAAATCCGTAGAAATGCCAACGACAAACATATGCGTTACAGAATTGAGCTTTATATATTAGATAAAAAGGGCGATTTCTATATATCAGGTCTATTCCTTGTTTATTACTTGAATAGAAAGCAGAGAAAGGTCGTTATTCAATCTTGAATTTACTGTTTAAACTAAGAACATTTTGTTTGCAGGAGACACAATTGAAACTGTTTCCGAGACATTTTTATAAACTTTTAGTCTATTTTGTCAGTGTTGGGTAACTTAGTATTTTAACACTTAGTGTGCTAGTGTTTGTGTTTAAACCAAGTGTTAATTGTATCGTGTGTTAGTGTTGTTTTAAAACTAAACGTTAAAATACCGTGTGCTAGTGTTTGAGTTAAAACTAAACCTTAAAATACCGCGTGCTAGTGTTTGTGTTAAAACTGAACGTTAAAATACCGTGTGCTTGTGTTTGTGTTAAAACTGAACGTTAAAATACCGCGTGCTAGTGTTTGTGTTAAAACTGAACGTTAAAATACCGTGTGCTAGTGTTTGTGTTAAAACTAAACGTTAAAATACCGTGTGCTAGTGTTTGAGTTAAAACTAAACGTTAAAATACCGTGTGCTAGTGTTTGTGTTAAAACTAAACGTTAAAATACCGTGTGCTAGTGTTTGTGTTAAAACTAAACGTTAAAATACCGTGTGCTAGTGTTTGTGTTAAAACTAAACGTTAAAATACCGTGTGCTAGTGTTTGTGTTAAAACTAAACGTTAAAATACCGTGTGCTAGTGTTTGAGTTAAAACTGAACGTTGAAATACCGTGTGCTAGTGTTTGAGTTAAAACGGAACGTTAAAATACCGTGTGCTAGTGTTGTTTTAAAAGTAAGCGTTTACATACCGTGTGGAAGTGTTGTTTTAAAACTTAGTGTTAAAATACTTTTTTTTGTTTCCAATTACAGCATTACACGTACGGTTTCCATTACTGTTGGAATGAACTCTTATGGTTGAAAAAGTTAAAATTAATAGTAACTGATATTTTTTTTTACCAGAACTTGTAAAATCTGCTGATCTGGACCACTTAAAACTTTCTGGTTACGAGGAGATTTGTGCCTCAGATTGTGTCAATACTGGAAACATAACGGCCTTTTTTGGGTATCCCCGTTACATCAAATATTATCGGATTACTGGCATAAAGGTTTTCGTCATGTACTCTGCAGAGGGCAACCAGTTATACCCAACCAACGGCTGGAAAGCGGTAGGTCTTACTTATGGAAATAATTTCATGCTGTCGTCATTAACTTAGTTTATTAAAACAGTTAAAGACCTAGACTGACAACCCGAGTGTCTCGAGATCGAATCCGGGTTGAAATCAGTGGAACGTCCCTGAGCAACCATCTCTGATAGCAGAAGTGTATAGGCTAGTTAGTATATAAGTATATAACTATTATAAGTTAGGAGTAGGATATTTTGAACTTATATATATATATATATATATATATATATATATATATATATATATATATATATATATATATATATACATATATATATATATATACATATATATATATATATATATATATATATATATATATATATATATATATATATATATATATATATATATATATATATATATATATATATACATATATATATATGGCAAACAACTCCTCCCAAGACAATATCGAACGGGTGGTGTGGTAAATGTGATGTAGAGTGAGCATGATAAGCGTTCCGTGTATGTCTGTAGGTAGGTAAATTGTGTACAGTTTGAGTATGGAAGGGGTAGATACAGTAAGGTAGTTTGAAGATGAGAGGATGAAATGTGACGCAGGGCCGGAACTACAGTGCCGCCAGGGGGGGGGGCAAGCCTTTTAGGGGCCCACAAACGACCATAATTAAATTTTTTTAATAGTTAAAAAATTATTTTCTTGTAAAAAAAATCAACAACAGATCTACAACATTAACTTAGTTTATTAAAACAGTTAAAGACCTAGACTGACAAAAAAAAATTGATCTACTACAGTAGTGATGTTCTACAGTAGCTATTACACGCTGTTTCGTAGAGGGAAAAATATATGGGCTACATGAGTTGTCGTGTGAAAGATAGGCAAACGTTCAAACCACTTTTATGACTTATTTCCCTTTTTTAAATAGTCAAATATGTGTGTTCTTAAGAAACTTTTAATAGAACTGCACTAAACAAATTAAAAAGCAATTACTTCACTAAATTATTATTTAAAAAAAAACATAATAAAGAATGATATAGTATGAAAAGGAAATGTATTAAAAACTAATAAGTTAAATACAAATAAACATAAAAATAAACATATGGCGAGAAACCATGACGCATATAAAGCTTTCATGCTTCATATTCTTTTGACCGACTTGTAATGAAGGAAGTATTATGTCAAACATTAAAACAGAGAGTTTCAAAGCATTGTTATAACATAACTTTTCCGTTTGCTTAAAATTTGTATAATTTTAATTCTCGGTAATCCCAATTTTTTTTTCAGCTCTACTTAAAAACTCAAATCCCCCCCCCCCCCCCGTCCCCTCAGCCAACCACGCACGCCGAAAAAAAAAATATTCCTTGAATCATCATTTAATTACACATTTGCATTTTCATTTTCAGGTTGGTTTTTAATTTTTATTTCTTCTTTATATTTAGACGTTTTGTATTAGATCTATGTATAAGTAAACCATCTTAAATGAATGAAAGCAGGCTACAAGTAAGAAAGAAATATTACTATTGTAAATCTGTATCAGTCCTCACAAGCCGATGATGAAAACTGTAATACTGAAGCGAACACACAACTGACGATATAAATTACGTGTCTGAGGCGAAAAAAAAAAAAAAAAAAAAAAATTACACAACCCCCACCCCCTCTGTGAATAATTTCCCCTCCACATCTCACCCGGACTCCTGTCACTTGCATTTGACCTTCACCCCCTTTACTGTTATGCCTTCCAATTTTGTATAATCACATACATGACATCTTGTAAATATTCATTGTGTACATTTGCAAAACCTTTCCTTTTCATTTGATGTTTGAAATATGCAAAGAATTTGATGTTAATGTACTTGTATTAAATTGCAAATAAAAGTATTTAAAAAATAAATAAATAAAAAAAATTCAAAGCAGACTAATATCACTCACACAAATGATGTGTTGCTGTAACAAGTTTTAATTAATAATTAAAAATAAAAACTAAGAATTCTAATTTTTCCAAATTTTGAACAATCGTGTATTGAATATTCTATGTTCGTATTTTCTTATTTTGTTTGGAGAAGTTGTGCGTATGGAAGGATATGTATAGCATGACATTGTATGGATGGGAGGTGTAAAAACGTGCTACTGTGTGGAGATGTGTGGGAATGTAAGTACTCTACTTGAGGAAGTCTGTGTGTTGAAGAGGCGAATAACGTAACAAATTAAATGTTTGAGTGATAACAACATTGTTGTTTTGAGAATCGAAAGTTAAATAACCTTAGGTACTAAGTTTTATTAAATTAAAACGGTGAATTACTTTTTCGTATATTCGTAGGTATGTTTATCTCTCATACCTAATATAATATATACTGTGTCGTAAAAGCATTTCAATAATCCGGGAACAGTTAGCCTGAAATCTATACCTAACTTTCAGAAATAATCACACTCCACTGGTGTTTTGTTTTTAAAGTCATCCTTTTCAAAGCCAAGCGATAATAAACAGAACAATGCCAGTTGTGGTATTAAGGCATATGCGCCAGTGTTCCTGGTGTACGTTCTGTGATTTTCACGCAGTCGAGATGAGAAATTTGTTTAACTAACTAACCCCCCCCCCCCCCCACCCATTCGGCAATTTAAAAGAAAGGCAAATATCATTTAAAAGTTTGCCAATCTTTTACACAAAAAATATTTTGTGTAAATGTTTTAAATATTTTACCCCGGGGAGCGTAGGTTAGTGACGGTGGAATATAGATATTTCTCAACCAAGACACGATGCTCGACAATTACAATTTTGTATTGTCGGGTGTGGGTCCCCCTTAATGTTCTGTGGGTCCCGACGTGGCGGGGTTAAGTGGTAGGGTAGTTCCCCCAACGGTGCTGTTGGTAACTATTAGATGCCTCCTGAAATAAAACTTGAACCCCCACCCCCACCCTTCCTTTCACCCAAAACTAATACACGTTTCAAAGCGTACTACCTTTATATTATACGTAATTTTTTTTCTGAAAATTCCTCTAGATAGAGTAATTATTTAAATTAACAATCTTTAAAATGATATTCTCATGTTTATTTTTCAGTATTGCAATATGAATGTCCACTACCACGGAAATGGGAAGGTTACATGTTATAGAGATAAATTTCCATGCTGGTGCTTTGACAAAGATGGAAGATCAAGGATGAAGTTTTTCCCTTTACAATACCCAGCCTTCTATCAGATTCAGGTTCAATATGAAGGACAGAGCATCTACACCAGATACTTACAAAGTAGCAATTGGTTTCATCATAAGCAAACTCCAGGTAAGTTCAAGGCTGAAATATAAGTAACTTGTTACAACAAACCATTCACTGCTTAATGGGTTTGCTGTATCATACTAAAAAACATACATCGCACATCCATACATGCATTTGTTATTATAGAAAGAGAGAGACAACGTGAGGTGAAAAAAGAGGGGTGTGGGGGTGTGGTGGGATGTATTGGACAGCGATGATGCTGATAATATTGAATGGTTTCATCAAAGGGAAATGCTAATGATATTGAATGGTTTCATCAAAGGGATATGATATTGAATGATTTCACCAAAGGGAGATACTAATGATATTAAATGGTTTCATCAAAGGGAGATACTAATGATATTGAATGGTTTCATCAAAAGGAGATTCTAATGATATTGAATGGTTTCATCAAAGGGAGATGCTAATGATATTGAATGGTTTCATCAATGGGAGATGCTAATAATATTGAATGGTTTCACCAAAGCGAGATACTAATGATATTGAATGGTTTCATCAAAGGGAAATGCTAATGATATTGAATGGTTTCATCAAAGGGAGATGATGCTAATGATATTGAATGGTTTCATCAAAGGGAGATACTAATGATATTGAATGGTTTCATCAAAGGGAGATACTAATGATATTGAATGGTTTCATCAAAGGGAGAAGCTAATGATATTGAATGGTTTCATCAAAGGGAGAGGATGCTAATGATATTGAATGGTTTCATCAAAGGGAGATGCTAATGATATTGAATGGTTTCATCGAAGGGAGATGCTGATGATATTGAATGGTTTCATCAAAGGGAGATGCTAATGATATTGAATGGTTTCATCAAAGGGAGATGCTAATAATATTGAATGGTTTCACCAAAGCGAGATACTAATGATATTGAATGGTTTCATCAAAGGGAGATGCTAATGATATTGAATGGTTTCATCAAAGGGAGAAGCTAATGATATTGAATGGTTTCATCAAAGGGAGATGATGCTAATGATATTGAATGGTTTCATCAAAGGGAGATACTAATGATATTGAATGGTTTCATCAAAGAGAGATGCTAATGATATTGAATGGTTTCATCAAAGGGAGAGGATGCTAATGATATTGATTGGTTTCATCAAAGGGAGATGCTAATGATATTAAATGGTTTCATCAAAGGGAGATGCTGATGATAAAGACTGATCACATAGAATCGGTAAAGGGAAACAACTGGAACAAAACTCTAATTTATTATAAAGATTGCTACCGATTACGTTCCTTAAGCTTTAGGACGATTTTGACACGTCTTGTGATTTAATCGACAGAGATGGATCAATACGCTAATTTATATTCGACATCCAAGGCAAAATTAGACAGTTGCCATTAGCACTCAAGCGACACCGTCTATTCAGGTATGTGATATATTTGCCTATTTGGAACGTTATATAGGGCCTATTCAGATGCCTGCTATCATTATACATAGACATATATTAACAAAAGTAAAACACAAAAGCCTAATAAAAATACCATTTTACTTTCAGTATGGGTAAACAATAACATGTTACTTTCAGTGTGGGTAAACGATAAACATTTTACTTTCAGTATGGGTAAACGCTAACATTTTACTTTTAGTATGGTTAAACGATAACATTTTACTTTCAGTATGGGTAAACGATAACATTTTACTTTTAGTATGGTTAAACGATAACATTTTACTTTCAGTATAGGTAAACAATAACAGTTTCATTTCAATACTGGTTAAACAATAACATTTTACTTTCAGTATGGGTAAACGATAACATTTTACTTTTAGTATGAATAAATGATACCATTTTACTTTCAGTATGGGTAAACGATAACATTTTACTTTCAGCACGGGTAAACGATAACATTTTACTTTCAGTATGGGTAAACGCTAACATTTTACTTTAAGTACGGGCAACGATAACATTTTATTTTCAGTATGGGTAAACGATACAATTTTACTTTCAGTACGGGTAAACGATAACATTTTACTTTTAGTATGGGTAAACGATAACATTTTACTTTCAGTATGGGTAAACAATAACAGTTTCATTTCAGTATGGGTAAACAATAACATTTTACTTCCAGTATGGGTAAACGATAACATTTTACTTTCAGTACAGGTAAACGATAACATTTTGTTTTCAGTATGGGTAAACGATAACATTTTATTTTTAGTATGGGTAAACGATAACATTTTACTTTCAGTATGGGTTAACGATAACATTTTACTTCCAGTTTGGGTAAACGATAACATTTTACTTTCAGTATTGGTGAACGATAACATTTTATTTTCAGTATGGGTAAACGATAACATTTTATTTTTAGTATGGGTAAACGATAACATTTTACTTCCAGTATGGGTAAACGATAACATTTTACTTTCAGTACGGGTAAACGATAACATTTTAGACATCCTAATGTTGCAAACACGCCTATGTCCATTTGATTTACTCAACCGTATATATCCAGTAGATTTAACAAACTGCATATATCCATTCAGTTTTACCAACCCGCATATATCCATTTGATTAACCAACCAGCATATATCCATTTGATTTAACAAACTGCATATATCCATTCAATTTTTTTTACCAACCCGAATATATCCATTAGATTTCACCAACCTACAGGACTGTCATGTATTTTACGGCTAATCTCCTTTTTTCATGTATTCCACAGAGAGTAGTTTTTCCTTGAACTGAGCCTTGTCAGAACCAGTCACCTGATCAACCATGTTAGACACACATTCTATTCCAGTTTGTTTTTCAAACGTATGTTTAAAAAAAAAATGTACGGTAATAACGAGGAACAAAAACGCGAATTGATTTAGTTCATGTACACGGAAGATTTTAATTTTTGCAAAATGTTTTTTTGGTTGCTAATTATGCTCTAGTAACAATTAGCTAGTATAACCATTAATTGTTTTTTTTACTGTTATTTTAGTTAAATTTTTACCTTTTGAGACAAGTTGTCTGTGTGGTTATAGAAAGGTAATTTAAATTAATGGTTGCTTTTACAATATTGGTTTTAAATTGTAATTAAGTCATATTAAGATTTTAATAAAATATGAATGATTCTAATTTAATTTTATGTTTAAGCGTTAAATGTTTTAACATTGAGCGACACTTTGACTAATTAAAAACAATAATTAAAGATATGAAAGATCTATTAAGTTTTTTAACTAAAATGTCATTAACTTATAATTAAGAATTAATATTATCCTATTTTAGAGATGTTATATTTAAATTTTAATTGTTTTAACATTGTGTGCAAAATTTGTCTAATTAAAAATAATATAGAAGAAAAAAAAGATCTTTTTAAGTTCTTTGAATGGCGTTTCATTAAAATATGTCTTTAACTTTTAATTAAGAACTAATATTATTGTATGTTAATAAATATTCATATTTACATTATTTCACACTTTTTTACTTTCTCGTATATACGAAGTATAGAGAAAGTATTGTAATCGTGCCAAAAAAAAAAATCGAGATTTTTACAAATCTCCACGTTTTACATCTCACTGATACGGAAAAACATAGTTTTGCAATCTTGTCCGTATGTCTGTGTGTCTGTCTGTGTGTCTGTGTGTGTGTGTGTGTGTGTGTAAACACGATAACTTGAGTACCGTTACAGCTAGGTTGATGAAATTTCATATATAAGTATTTCATCAAAATCGTAGATCCATATCAACTTTTGAGTGATTTCCGATAACCGGAAGTGGTAGTTTTTCTACTTTGAATTTTTCAAAAGCCTGTAACTTGAGTATAATTTCAGATAGATAAATGAAATTTCACAGGTAAGTAAAAGATCTAATTCTCTACCTTCTGTCAAATTTTGAATAATTTGCGTTGAACGGAAGTACTAACTTACGCTATTTCCGATTTCTCAAAAACGCATTTAAATTTATAAAGTGCTAATAATATTGCGCACTATTATGCACATCTTTATTTGGCGTATTTAAAATGGATTAAAAATCATGTCTATAGCCCGAGTTCCCATCCCCTGTTATTTTATATAAGAATATTCGAGAAAGTTTAGGGGAGATCACTCCCGGTTTATTATATTTTAACATTGTGCGACAGTTTTTTGTAGTAAAAATAATATAAACATCTTTCAAGTTCTTTGAATTGTGTGAAAACTGTTTTCTTAAACAGTATAACTAAATAAGGATGTGCTTTGAGTAGAAAATGAGGAATCTAAGTGTGCTGTGTGCTTCACATACATCTGATTGCACGAAATCTTAAGTGTGTGGTTATCCAGAGTAGTGTAATTTGCGTTGTGTGTTCTTATAAATTATTTCACTGTTGCACGGAACGTTTTTTTTTTAAATTTTTTCAGTTGAATATTTTCATTTATACTTCATTATGTAAATAATGGTCCAGTAGTTTTGTTCACTCATTAATATTCAAAGACATAACTAGAATAAACGTAACAGATTCACAGACGCTAAAATGTGTTGTCTTAGCGTAAAGATTTTGACTATTGTCTCTTACATGAGTCGAAGAGTGACACGGAAAATAATAATTTTCAGTATACATTATAATTATTATTTATAGATATTGAACAAAAATGTTCGTTGTCATAGTTTCACTAGAGATATTTTGTTAAAAGGTAACAAGAAGTTTAAAATTTCACTGTTGGGAAGACGTAGGGTGTCTAGTTGACCAAAATATTTACATATTGTTGATATAGAATAGATACATATTTTATGTCATGGTAAAAAGTAAGTATACACTGCTATAGATCGCAACATATAGTCCCATTGTATTCTTTACGAAAGAACTTGTCTGATACATAAGAAGATGTAGTTTAATCTTTAGTATATAACGAAGGCTTAACTTCTATTCATTTAACTTCCAAGAAATTGTAGTAAAAAAATTTTTTTTATTGATAATATTGTTAAAGTGGTAATAGAAATATCAGAGACGATCAGGCACGCATATAACACCTGATGTATCCATCTTAATTTCACCGAGTAGACATTACATAACGACACTGTTTTAGTAGTTATAGATACTACATTATTCAGTGTCGTAATTTGAATTTGAGCCCATTAGGCTGTGCTGTAGTACTTGACGAAGACGGCAAACATGTCAGCAATAGCCACATCGCCGTTGGTCCAGTTCTGAGGTTCATTCTGCCTGGAATATTTGAAAACTGGGAACGTTCTGGACTGTTCCCAAGGGCAAATACCGTTGGTTCTGTCCACGGCGACGAACCAGCCTTTGTCTTCTGGACATCCATTGTAGTTACTGTTGATGAAGAAGGTCCTGGTCAGTTCTGGCCTGACGTCCCCTTCAATGGAGAAGTAGTTGGTGGCGTCTGTCTTGATTTGTTTCCAAGTGGCGAACAGAACTCTGGACTGGTCGAACCAGCTGATGGAGGTAGAGTCTTGACCGTCAAACAAAATGTCGCCCACTCTGGTGTAGTTGGAGTACACGATGAAGGCGACCTCCTTAATTCTGTCCCAGTTGTCGAAGACTTCGGAGTTCCTGTAGTGGTTGTTGCAGGGTAGGGGGGCGGTGACCTAACATAAAATTAATATGTGAATAAGGCGAAGTTTCAATAAACTATTTTGTAACAATACGGTAGAAAAATCAAATTAATTTAACTCTTTTTTCTAATTTTGACAAAGGAGGTAATTTAAAAATACATTAAACTCAAGCTAATAAAAAATGTGAATGCAAATATACGTTCGTCATAGAAGGAATTAGTGTTGCAATAATATAATTAGCAAAATGTGAATGCAAATTATTCGGATGTGTAAGAGGAAATTATTGTTTGAAAATAATGATTTGCATGGATTGATAAAAGGCAATATTTTATTTATTTTATTCACTAAATGTAGGCCCTACTGTTTATTACTAAGACTTATAATTTTTAATCAACTATTCAGCACTATCACGTTCATTAGGTGCGCAGCGGTTTTAGTTATGAAACTTTATTGTAAATTTTTAAAATTTAAAGTAGCCTACTGGAAAAAGAATGCGTGAATGGATAAAGTGAAATATTGTAGGTAAAACACGGATATTTTAAATACTGCCTATTATTTATACTGTTTACTAATTATTATTCTATCTTTCGGTTTGCGGACAAGCTAGGGGTTTTATAGGAGAGGCGGGGGGGGGGGGGGGCATATGTCCCCGGGTGCCGACCTTAGGGGGCGCCAAAGTTGGTTGGAAAAAATATGCGAGGGGGGGGTGGAAATCGAAAGTTTTTTTTTTGGGGGGGGGGGGGACAGGGGTGCAAATCGAAAGTTTGAGGGGGGTGCAAATCACCGGAAAGGGCGCGATTTGGCGCTACGGACTAGACTGTGAGCAATATGCCTTTATGATTGCATTTAAATTGTGTTTATGTTATGAGTGTTGTGTTTGTTTTTTCGTTTGTGTTTTTTTTTTTGCGTTCGTTTCTGTTGTGTTTAGTTTTGTTCTGTTCCCAAGTTGGTACATTTAAAAAAGATTTACCGTGGCGGAGCACGGGATGCAGCTAGTATATATATATATATATATATATATATATATATATATATATATATATATATATATATATATATATATATATATATATGAAATTGTGGTTACCTTGTTCCTCAATTGGCTGCTCTCTGCTTCCAGATATCCTACCACAGTTTCCAGAGATGCCACCCGTTTGTTCTGATTATAGCAGCAGTTCTCTAACGCAGCCGTTTTGGTTTCCAGCTCTTTTGTCTTCTTGGCCAGTTCTTTAACTAATTCTTCATTAGCCGAAAGTCTCTTTTCAATCTTTACAATAACATCTACCAACTCATTCACAATCGGTTCACGGACTTGAACAGTCAGATTTCCAGTTAGCATGACTCCATGGTTGTCAGCTGTCAAACCGTTAATGTTACAGGTGTAAGTTCCGGCTTGCTGCTGATCTGGGTTAGACCAGGTCAGGGAAAGATAACCCATGACTGGTGAAGTAGTGAAGGTTACGTCCCCTGCAACACTAACTGTTTGAAAATCGCTGTAAGCTGTGGCTGGATTACAAGCTGAGACTGAGGCTATTACCTCACTATCTTCTAACGATTAGAAATAAAAAAAAACCCGTTAATTTATTTATTAAATTACATTGACAAAGTGAAAAAGGAGTTAAGATATAAATGACAAAAATAAGAAATTCACATTAAAATATCACACTATATAAAGTATTACTAAGTAAAATAGTAGATCTAGAATTTATAATTAAGTAAACTATTTTATTGACATTATATTTTACCTCGGGTAATTGTTATTGACAATATATTTTTAAACTGGGTGCTCATTTCTTTAATGGACTGTAGCAAAAAAAAAACAAGGCAGATAGATGATTTATTACTTTCTCGTTTACAGAGTTTAGATGAAATATTGTAATTGTACACAAAAATCACATGAAATTTTGACAGTTTTCACCGTTTTGTTTTGCAGTACTTCATCATATTCGGAGTATATGGAACTTATTTTAAACTGGCAAAATTTCTAAATCCAGATTTATCAAATTGTCTGCGTTTACGCGTAATCGAGACAGAAAACTGGGCTTTGCAATTCAGTATTTAAATTTACTAGCCTTGGAAAGCACAAGAACTACTCTAAGATCAACCGAGTCATAGTAGCACAAATGCTGACCTGTAGAATGTTCGCTGCTGTCATACAATCAATCAAAAATGGATTTTTAAAGTAATTAGAATACATATAATTTAATTAAATATGCCGGCTTACCTCCAAAGAACAGTTGACCTTGAGAGTGGGAGTCAAGGCTGTTGTGATGGCTGAGGTCGACGCTTGGAACACCATCTTAGAACCTGTAGAGATTTAGCAAAATGTTATTATTGAAAAAAATATTTAAATCTGATTTATCTTAGAAATGATTATACATTCGGTATAAATGGAATTAGTTTAACGGCATTAAATTTAGGCTTTTAATTTGAGTTGTAAGTATAATGACGACAGTTCACATAAAAAATGATATGTCATTTAGAATCAGCCCATGTAAAAGTCTGTACTTACCAAATGTTAATGACATTGATAAACAGCCTGCCACAATGTAGATTGCAGAACGTTGAATCATTTTAAAGGCTCCTAGATTTAAACAACAAAGAACGTATGCTGACAAAAACAATTTATATTCAAATATATTCTCAAGTAAATTTTTTGTCATAAATTATTTTCCAATTAGGAACAAACCGTTTTTTTTTATGCACTTGATGGTTTTACAAAAAAATTGTAAAATGAATAATGCTAATACAAATTATAATTTTCAAAAATATCTAACTGGACAATGGTTCCATTTCATCTGTGCTTTACAAAGCTCTGATTTCTTTAGTACGAATTATCACATGTTTCCGTATGAGAAAGACTGGGTGCCTTGAAGAACAGGACATGGATAAACAAAGATGGCCAGATTAACTTGTAAGCTCTTTATCCTTCACCGGAGGATTCAACATTTCATGTAGGCTACAACTAGAAACATCTGACTAATGCGTCCGTTTTAACTAGAAACTTGCAACTATTTCACTATAAGCAAATAATTGATGAGAGCGGTCAACTTGAAAAGTATGCCAACATTGTGTGAAATGTCAACACACCCTTGGCTTACTCTGAACACCAAATCATACTTACATTAGGGGGACATTTAGAAGAAGTTTCAAAGCAGCTCCTTATTACTTTTTCCACAACGATATAATATTACATGTTTTAATAAACCGGGAGTGATCTCCCCTAAACTTTCTCGAATATTCTTATACGAGAAAAATGGCCCGTTGAGGAAGGGTACAACGGGCGCTAGGCTGATAGTGCTGTCTCTTTTCTCTAAACTAAAACCAACCCACCCCCCACACACCACCCCCCACCCCCACACACCACCCCCACCCCCCCACACAAACACCACCCCGCCACACACCGCCCCCCACCCCCCACCCTCCACCCCCCCCCCAAAAAAAAAAACATGTCTACCGTCCCATTCAACGAAATATAATTATATACTTTTTCCAGTGTCCGCCCCCTCCCAGAAAATTCTACCCCCGCCCCCGAAAATTTCAAGTACCCCCACCCCTCTCCGGGGAGGAAAAAGTCTGAAAGAAACACTGAAACCAACCCACCCCCCACACACCACCCCCCCACCCCCACACATCTTCCCCCCCCCCCCACACACACCCCCCCCCACCCCTCCACCCCCCCCCCCCAAAAAAAAACATGACTACCGTCCCATTCAACGAAATATAATTATATACTTTTTCCAGTGTCCGCCCCCTCCCAGAAAATTCTACCCCCGCCCCCGAAAATTTCAAGTACCCCCACCCCTCTCCGGGGAGGAAAAAGTCTGAAAGAAACACTGGTGTCGCGCTTAGCCACTACCCGAAGAATTGCATTAAAGAAATTGCAAGAAAACCACTTTTTAGATTAGTCACATTAATTAGGCGGTAATTTTATTATAGAGTATCGATGAGGAAATTTCTTTTGAGTTGGGGAGGGGGGGGGGGGCTCAGACGTTCTTACGCGGGGGTGGGGCTTCGCCCCTACCCGAAGAATTGTATGAAAGAAACTCTTCACGCAAACCACTTAGATTAGACCAAATTGCCTTGGTATTGAATGTTTACTCGATAATCAATGACGTCATATTAATGTGTGTACTATCCGGCTTGAGATTATTTTCTACTCTGTGCGCTAAATGTGTCGACGTCATACTTCGTTTTTCGAATTACTATGCATGTTTTTATTTTCCTTGTGTTTTCTCTAGAGCGTTCTTGTCAGACAGATAGATAGATAGATAGATAGATAGATAGATAGATAGATAGATAGATAGATAGATAGATAGATAGATAGATAGATAGATAGATAGATAGATAGATAGATAGATAGATAGATAGATAGATAGATAGATAGATAGATAGATAGATAGATAGATAGATAGATAGATAGATAGATAGACAGACAGCGAAACTATTATTATAGACGAGAAAAATGGCCCGTTGAGGAAGAGTACAACGGGCGCTAGGCTGATAGTGCTGTCTCTTTTCTCTAAACTAAAACCAACCCACCCCGCCACCCCCCACCCCCCACCCCCACACACCACCCCCCACCCCCACACACCACCCCCCACCCCCCCCCCACACAACACCCCCCCCACACCGCCCCCCACCCCCACCCCACCCCCCCCCACCCCCCCCAAAACATGTCTACCGTCCCATTCAACGAAATATAATTATATACTTTTTCCAGTGTCCGCCCCCTCCCAGAAAATTCTACCCCCGCCCCCGAAAATTTCAAGTACCCCCACCCCTCTCCGGGGAGGAAAAAGTCTGAAAGAAACACTGGTGTCGCGCTTAGCCACTACCCGAAGAATTGCATTAAAGAAATTGCAAGAAAACCACTTTTTAGATTAGTCACATTAATTAGGCGGTAATTTTATTATAGAGTATCGATGAGGAAATTTCTTTTGAGTTGGGGAGGGGGGGGGGGGGGGGGGGCTCAGACGTTCTTACGCGGGGGTGGGGCTTCGCCCCTACCCGAAGAATTGTATGAAAGAAACTCTTCACGCAAACCACTTAGATAAGACAAAATTTCCTTTTTATTCAATGTTTACTCTCCGGTTTGAGATTATTTTCTACTCTGTGCTAAATGTGTCGACGTCATACTTCGTTTTTCGAAATACTATGCATGTTTTTAAATTGCTTGTGTTTTCTCTAGAGCGTTCTTGTCAGACAGAGCGTTCTTGTCAGATAGATAGACAGACAGCGAAACTATTAGTATTATAATAAAACAACAGGGGATAGGAACTCGGGATATAGATCTAGTTATGATTTTTAATCCATTTTAAATACTTAAACTTTTTAAAATAGAATAGAATCTCATAGAAAAAAGTATTGCGCACCAAGCGAACGCCGAATAAAGATGTTCATAATGGTGCGCAATATTATTAGTACTTTATAAATTTATATGCGTTTTTGAGAAATCGGAAATAGCGTAAATTAGTACTTCCCGTCAACGGAAATTACTCAAAATTTAACAGAAGGTAGAGAATTACATCTTTTACTTACAGGTGAAATATCATTTATCTATCTGAAATAGTATTCAAGTTATAGGCTTTTGAAAAATTCAAAGTAGAAAAAGTACCACTTCCGGTTATCGGAAATCGCTCAAAAGTTGATACGGATCTACGATTTTGATAAAATACTTATATATGAAATTTCATCAACCTTGCTGTAACGGTACTCAAGTTATCGTGTTTACACACACACACAGAGACACACACACACACACACACAGACATACGGACAAGATTGCAAAATTATGTTTTTCCGTATCAGTGAGGTGTAAAACGTCGAGATTTGTAAAAATCTCGAATATTTTTTTTGCACGATTACAAGACTTTCTCTATACTACGTATATACGAGAAAGTAAAAAAGCTGAAACAGCTACTTACAGATTCAATCTTTTTGTGTGTCTTTGTTGTTTAAGTCAATATGGAAAGATTATGACCGCGTAGTAACAGAGCAGCATCCAAGTAAAGAAATGATAAACACGATCTTGTTGAAGTAACTATTTACTAACCATATCCGTGTTTGAATAAGAAATGAAAATATATCTTCACTTACTAGACAGACATCTGATAATGATACAATTAAAAGATATAATTTAAACAACGTAAACAGGATGCCATGTGGACCCGTGTATAACTGGATGTTATGATGGTAGGTGGAGTGTTGTGTGAAACACGCCACTTGACATCACACACACGCACACACACAAACACACACACACACGCACGCACACACACACACTGTCTCTCTCACACGAACAACTCACGCAGGCACGCACGCAAGTACGAGAATGTAAAAAAAAAACTGCTTTAGTTACATTAAAACTTGTTTAAAACTCTATTTCCGTGGGAACACAATAACTTTAATAATCTGTTTTAGTTATTAAGTTGATAGAATTTCATCTATAAGTGTAACATTGAATACTTAGATCATTATAAGTTTCAAATGATAAAAATGTATGCCATGTAGAAGCAAAACTGTACTTTAAAGAGGGAAGAAATAAACTTCAGTAAAAACAATTAGGCGTGGTTTTAAAATATAATAAAAGAAACTTGAAAAACTTAAAAAATTCATTAAAAAACGTTTTAATAACAAGCTTTTATTACTAATGCACTAAAAAGTAGAAAATAAATTATACACTACTATTTAAATTACTATAAAGAAAAGCGTGGGTCACTTTAGTACTTTAGTACCTATTGGATACCTTTACTAATATTTGAGAAGAGACCCACGCTTTTCTTTATAGTAATTTAAATAGTAGTGTATAATTTATTTTCTACTTTTTAGTGCATTAGTAATAAAAGCTTGTTATTAAAACGTTTTTTAATGAATTTTTTTTCAGTACTTTACATGTTTTATTTACAATAGTGTTACATGACTAAAAACCATTGCGCGTCTATTGAACGTGATGGCGCAGCTATTAAACTTGATGGCGCAGCTATTGAACGTGATGACGCGTGTGGTGTGGTTGGATAGACATGCCTATTGATTCGGTCCAAATATTAATTAATTAATAAAAAATTAATTAGGCATCCAATTAAGTCAAATTTAGTTTCAGATTGCATTGTCTTCATGTCTTGACCCACGTGCCAACTGTGAATCGTATCGGTCAAGTAGAACTGTCCGAATTTTCACTCCTGCGTTTCTATCTAGACTGACGACTGACGACAGACTGACGAGGAAGTGAGTTAAATAAAAGCTTGTAAAAAAATTCATAAAAAAACGTTTTAATAACAAGCTTTTATGTACTAATGCACTAAAAAGTAGAAAATAAATTATACAATAGTATTTAAATTACTATAAAGAAAAGCGTGGGTCACTTTAGTATCTATTGGATACCTTTACTAATGTTAAGGAAGACACCCACGCTTTTCTTTATAGTAATTTAAATAGTAGTGTATAGTTTATTTTCTACTTTTTAGTGCATTAGTACATAAAAGCTTGTTATTAAAACGTTTTTTTATGAATTTTTTTTTCAGTACTTTACATGTTTTATTTACAATAGAGTTACATGACTAAAAACCATTGCGCGCCTACTGAACGTGATGGCGCAGCCATTGAACGTGATGGCGCAGCTATTGAACGAGATGACGCGTGTGGTGTGGTTGGATAGACATGGCTTCTAATTCGGCCCAAATTTTAATTAATTCATAAAAAATAAATCAGGCATCCAATTAAGTCAAATTTAATTTCAGATTGCATTGTCTTCATGTCTTGACCCACGTGTCACATGTGAATCGTATCGGTCAAGTAGAAGTGACCGAATTTTCACTCCAGCGTTTCGATCTAGACTGACGACTGACGACAGACTGACGACTGACGAGGAAGTGAGTTAAATAAAAGCTTGTAAAAATAAAAAGCTTTTAAATGTTCTGAAAATTAAAATGTAAAAAAATCGCTTTAAAAAAAGCATTTGCAAAACTAAGTTTTTCTGACTCATGGAGGTGTAAATCGTCGAGATTTGTGAAATTTTCCATTTCGATTTTTCGCACGCTTACAATACTTCCCCTGTAGGGCCTACAGTAATAAAAAGTAATAAAAAGCTTATGCTTATGGTTTTAAAATATAATAAAAGAAACTTGAAAAACTTAGAAATAAAAGCTTTTAAATGTTCCGAAAATAAAAATGTAAAAAAAAAATCGCTAAAAAAAAGCATTTGTCTGTATATCTGTCTGACTGTCCGTGAACACGATAACTTGAGTACCGTTTCAGTTATGTAGACGAAATTTTTTGTATAGGTATTATATCAAATTTGTAGTTATGTATAATCTTTTGAACGGTTTTTGGTAAAAAATAAGTAATAAACTGTATTCGCATTCTTTTGGCATATTGTGGATAATTTTCGGTAACCGCAAGTGGTACTTTACTCTATTTCCGTTTTAAGAATATAACTTACGCTCTATTTCAGGTAATTAGAAAAATCTTATACTTGGATTATTTTCAATTTCTAGTGACTTCTGATAACCGTATATAAGTTATAATTTAATTTATTTCTGGAAAATTTAAACGTAGGTATAATATTTTAAAGCTTTGATTTTGTCAAATTTGAGTGATTTCCGGTGAACAGAAGTATTACTTTACGCTATTTCCGATTTCTGAATAAAGATCACTTCTACAGGACCGATTTCTTCTAAACTTGTCACATGTCTAGACTCGATGACAATGAGCTGTGACATAACATTTTACGGAATTAGATGTTAAAATACAAATTAATTAATATTTCCTTTTAAAAGTTAAAAGTATATATTTTCTATATAAATTCCATTTCGTTGGGGGGGGGGGGGGGGCGTAAGACTTTCTTCGGATGTCATTGGCATCAAGTGTACATCTGATAACGATTGGCTCATCGAGAAGGTGACACCTCTTAAGGTCATGTCGAAGAAATAAATAAATGTGTCCTTTAGATAATAGTTTTTAGTTGACTTGTTGTTATGCTGCAGATAATGAATGTAAAAAATATTTCTTACAAGTTATTAAAATATTATAGCCTGAGACTAAATGTAAAGTTGGGTGGTGCTTGTGTTGAGATATTGAATAGATTTATAAACATGTCTGTATAGAACCAGAGCCCACAATACCCAGATGGCATTTTGATTCTGTCATCAGCTACCGTCCTAGAAAAAGAGACTATATGTCACTATGAACAGTTGGTGTCCACTTATGTTTTCAGGTTTAAAAAGCAGACACACTCGGATTAAGGAAGAGAAACAAAATATTTCACACACAAAAAAAGACAAAAAAAACAAACTTTTAGAAATACACAAAAGCTTTTCTAAATATTATTTAGTAAACTTTTATACATTGCTAAATTTATACTTTCCGTAACCATACATAAAGTATTTAAAACTTAGCATGAAGTTTCCTTACGATATAAACTATGTTCGGAACTACCATTATAGCATTCTATTGCTATGTGCATTGTTTAGAAAATTTCAAAGTTACCTCCAGATTGGTCTGACTTTAAAAAATTCTAAAAATTTCAAATTTTGTTACTATAAAAATCTGGTATTTCCAGCCATAGATCATGTTATGCATCTCTTTGCTAATTTAAAGGAAAAAGAAGGCTTAAATGTTGGAAAACTTCAGCCCTCGTTTTCTAATTAAAAAAAAATGTTGCATCATACATTGACTTTCTTTTAAGTTCTGTTTTATCAATGAAAGCAACCACGTAAACACTGCACACGTTTAAATAACAGAAAAGAAACTATTGACGCATCGAAAGCTAATTAAACACTTCATTTCGGAGTTAAAATTTTAGACTTTGGTTGAATCAAAAAGAATGACTGACGCCAATTTGACAGAGAACACATAACATCTTAAAAAAAATAGAAACAAAAACGTACAGTTGCAATTTTTTTGTTTAATGCAAATAAGATATATGTTATTTTTTTGCTAAATATGAGTGGCGAGATTTTATTAAAAAAAGACTGTTGGAATAAAAATTACATATAAATGTTACTAAAATAAACGTAAATAGCCAAAAGTGTAGTTCAGGTGTTATAATTTCTTGACCTGAAGAAAAACGACATACATTTTTTTACTATTGTAATGTAATCGAATTTAATGTAAAAGCATATAAGATTAGTGAATTTGATGGATTGATAAATGGACGGATAGATGAATGAATGGATGGGTGAGTGAATGGCTGTTTTATTGGATGGTTAAATGGTGGATAGATGGCTCAAAATTATCAGGTAGAAAGTACATATGCATAGTACATAAAAAACATGACAAATGTATTTACCTTTAATTTTTCAAAGCAATCCAGTAAATACCCATGTTATATATAGCTGAAGACTCCCAGGTTTCACAAAGTAGAATGAACCCCTTTGTTGTAACCTCATCTACCTGTATGTAATATCTGGTTTGTCCCCAGGCACTCGTTGTATCGGCATGGATGACTGAAATAAAAACTGTGGGAGGAGAGTCGAACCCGGAGCGAAAATTTAAGCGGGAGGTTGATCTTCTTCTGCCACTTTTCATCCACTGATACTCATTGGAGTTTCCACAATAATGGTAGCCAGTCTCGATTCTCATTGCTTGCTTCCTTAGATTGCTATTGAGCTCAGATATTTTCTTATCCATCCATGTCTCACCAGCACGTAGCTTTTGGATCTGGTTTTCAGATATATTCACCCGATAGTTTATCTTGGATACCATCTCTGATAGCTCATCCACAGATTTTGCGCTAGCCTTTTTATCCGCATTTGTCAGCCTTTCTATCTCTTTTTGGGAATCGTCCATCCTTTTGGTCAGTTTGGACATCATATCCAACACGTCGTTTAAAGATGTCTGGCTGTCCACTTCTTCACAAGAACTAAGATCTTTCTCTGACGTGTCAACCCTTTCGTTAAGCTGCATGATCATATCGTACAGTTCTTCAACGCTCGGCCGTCGAGCTGTAATGGTAATGGCTTTGTTCACCGCATGTTCCCCGGTAACAAAGGTAATGCTACAGGTGTAGTTCCCTGCCTGCATAGTGTCGGCGGTCGACCAGTGCAGGTCAAGGTAACCATCGCGATATCTCAGTTCGCCCTCAACGCTGAGTGTCTGGTGGTCTTTGTGGATCTGAGGATCATCGTAGGCAGAGATTGTAGCAATCACATCGTTCCCTGAAATAATGATAATGATAATAATAATAATAATAATAATAATAATAATAATAATAATAATAATAATAATAATAATAATAATAATAAAAATAATAATAATAATAATAATAATAATAATAATAATAATAATATTTATAATAATATTTATAATAATATTTATAATAATATTTATAATAATAATAATAATAATAATAATAATAATAATAATAATAATAATAATAATAATAATAATAATAATAATAGTAATAATAGTAATAATAATAATAGTAATAATATAATATTTTATTTTCATTATTATTATTTAAATCTCTTTTTTGGTCCCACAATGGTAATGACGAGTTTATTATATATATATATATATATATATATATATATATATATATATATATATATATATATATATATATATATATATATATATATATATATATATTTTTTTTTTTATTAAACATTCTACTCACCTCGACTGACAGTAATTGATCTGACACTTCGTGCACGACCAGTGATTAAAGTTAAATTCTCAGGATCCTGGTCAAATAGATAGCATACAAAACAAATTATGTTAGCCTTACATAGAAACATACACAGACTGTAAAGAAAAACACATATCTATATTTAGACAAGAATAAATAAGTTGCCTTCAGTAGTGAACAGAGAATGGAAGACGTCTCCCCCATTCCCTTCAAGCTTTTAAATAAACTGAAAAAAAGAAAATCAAACTAATTTACTTTCTCTAATAAAAGCTTTGGTCGCTAATGAGATCTTTTACATATTTTATCAATAAAAGTTTTTTTAATTAAAGTTTGCAATTAAAAGCTTGTCGCTATAAAGCGTTTTGTTTTAAAAATAATTGTTTTATTTAAACAACCGCTGTCAATGTGCACAAAAAAGTATTTAGTTCTTTGTTTGTATTTGGGCCCTTCTGCCCCCCCCCCCCACCCCTTCACCCAGCATTACTAAGTCTGGCAGAATGTTAGTTCCGCCCTTGGTTGCGTTATTATGTTTTAGGAGGTAAGGATCCCTCAGTCTTCATGCCCACCCAGCCCCCACCCCCACCACCCCTGTTTTGTTGAAGACAGAGTACTATGGACCTTTTGCAATACCTAACTGTTTAGGAAAGTAAATGATACTGGTCATAACGCTTACCACACATTGACCAGACTATCAATATATATATATATATATATATATATATATATATATATATATATATATATATAAAAGTACATATACAACTGTATTGGAATTTATAACGTAGCATTACCTTGAGTTTACATTTTAGGTTCAGTGACTCTTTCAAGTGGGGTGCTATTATCGACGTGGATGAAGTCAGTTCTAGTTCAAAAGCTTAAAGTAAAATTCAATTAATCTATAATTGGATAAAGTGACTTAGATGTTTTTATTTTCAAAAGCCCCACACCCGTAAACATACCCAACATAGATCACATAGTTTTGTGTTGAAAATTTAAAATACGCTGAATACGTTTACTATTGTATAAAGACAGCTAGCTCATTATTTAAATCAGTAAACCATTTATCAAAATTTCTTAGAGTAAAATATGCTCCCAAAATAACTACATGAGTAATTTGTTTTTTTTTCGTCCAGTTCATATAATAATTTTCTTGCTGTTTTAATCATTTGGAACAGATAAGCAAACATATGATAACTGAATACGTTTTGTAAGAAATAAGAAAATTATATTCTATTTTGTTGTACGATTTCTGAATATGTAAGAGATCTTATGAAAGCTTCCATTGAACCTGTTCCTTGATTAAATTCATCAATGGATGAGTTTTGTAACGCACCTACTTGTTCTGTTGTACTGACCTTCATTGGTTCTTGTGCTTAAGTATAGCACTACAAACAGGAAAACTCGGTGATGGTACATGATGTCTTGGGACTTAAAGAGATGTAACACAATTCTTAAAAAAGAAAATAAGGTTAACATTTGTTCGTAATATTACCAAAATAAACACGAAATATTTGTGTTTACAAGATAGAAAAAAATATAGTTTCAAGTTTTTCAGTGTCAGTTGAAGCTTGAAGATAAAATAAATGAACAATTAATATCTGATATTGATACAAAAATGATGGAAAAATCTACCAAAGTTTAATGCATTGATGTGCTAGTCTAAAGCATAAATATGTCTGATGGGGAAGCCTAGTCGAAAAAAAATATCAAATTTAATTTAGCGTCACAATTTCAATCTTTGACGTGTTCACGAGCGGTAAGAATCAAGACGGCGTATTGTTGTCATAATAACTTTACCATCCCATGTCATAATGTTTACCGTAAGGACTTTTTGATTCGCATGAACACATGTTGAACCCAGCTCATCTTCTACCTAGCAACTAGAAATACAGACACTAAGTCTGAAAGATAGCGGAGCAACTGTGCCACACGACCGTCGTATCAGAGAGGCAGGCAGAGAAAACATTCTTGTCTAGTTAGAGCGTTGAAATTAAAGTGAATGTCTCATGTGGCGAAATTTTCTGGAGGGAGCAAGCTTATTCTATAATTTGCCGTATCTCATGGTTGACTTTATATTGAATACCAGGACAAAGTAAAAATAAGTTTGTTCTTTCTATTTAAATTCCTACGTGTTCAATATGTGACTTATGACTTTGAGAATGGCGTCGACTATTCATTGACAGAGAGACACTCCCGTTTTGTCACTGACACCTACGACTAGCACACCGCGCAGTAAAATGTTAACATTTTGATTAATAATATAAAGAGCGGATATACCATTCCAAACAAACATGGAATAAGACTGTTTGAAATAGAAATTACTTACATGAAATGTTTTCTCAAGACTTTGGTACCAGGTAGTTCACTAAGTGTGAAGCAACCCAGCGAGTGTGAAATCAATGGCATAAAGTCTTGCTTATATGCATCGCACCTCAACCTCTCAACCAATGAGAACGTCTAATTTAGTTCCTTTACTCCACTCACGTTACCAAGAAAAGATCTATGTCCTGGTTCTTGTGAACGCTTAACTGCTCACCCAGGTCAGCACGTGCAAATTGGTTTAAGTCGAAAGGTTGGATCCGTGACGCAACAATGCAGTCACTTTTGAACAGGTTAGACTAACCCTTCTGCCTTCTAATTCACCCTATGTATGTGAGGTTCATAGGTCACAGCATTAAACAAGAGAGTTGAGGTCGTGTCACTAAACAGTTAGAAGTTCGAGAAAGTGTTTCTTCCAGACTTTTTTCTCCGGGAGGGGGGGGGGGGGGCACTTTATTTTCGGCAGGGGGGGGGGGGCACTGGTCAAAGTATATGTATTCTATACAAATTCCATTTCGTTCGGGGGTGGGGGGGGGTTGGGCGGTAGACTTCCTTCGGTGGGGGGAGGGGGGGGGGCTGAGCTCCCGTGAAGAGATGCCTGGAAGAAACTCTTGTTAGAGAAAATACAAATTAGTCCCGGGAATAAAGGGTGCAAACTGGTAGGATATAAAGAAGACAAAAATTATTCTATTCTATTGATTTGAAACGAAGATTATGACACATACATGGGTTTAAAAGCTAATTTAATCATTACCAGTGATAAGCAAAATGCGCCTCCACAGTCTCCAAACGGGGTTCTTTTGTAAACGGAACGAAAATTTAAAGGATTTTTATTTCGAGTTAACTGAAGATAAAAATATTACTAGAGATGCAACCATTTTTACAAACATAATGCAGTTAGTATTAATAATAATTTTTTCAATTTATTGTCGACGGATAATGTTACGTATTGATGAAGCTAATTGCTAGTTAGTGTAGAACACGTCATTTTTCTCCCAATTTGCGCATTTCTTTTCACTGACTATAAACTTAACTACAAGAACATAGTTTCTACATGCTATATACCACAACGACCGTATGTAAGGACCGTATCTTTAGAATCTTTTAACTGAGTGGAGGGTCCTCTGTTACACCGACATTATGATTAGAAATGTTTTAAATTTTAAAATTGAAACTCCTTAATTACTACGTTACTGATATTTGTAAAATCAAAGACAAGCTTTCGAAACTATTTTGTCCTGATTGTGGTTATTGAATCGTTTAACCTAAATATTTTTAAATCGTTTAGACGTAAATAGACACTCCCTTCTTCTTTGAAAAACGCAAGACATTCCAAAAAAAATAATACCAATCTACCAGGAAATATCAGCTCATTCGTAGTTTCGGTTACACGGATCTAGTTAAACAACGCTCACTGTCATGGCGTAGAAATATAGAATTTTCAAAGCTCACAACATTTGACTAAGAGAGGACGTTGTGTCTAAACAGTGTGGAGTTAGAGAGCCGACACCTAAGTGTCGGGTATATAGCTGATACAAGTGATAGGATAACAAGAAGACAAAAATTATTATATTCTATTTATTTGAAATGAAGTATAAAGAAACAAACATCGTTTTGAAAGCTAATGTAATCATAATCAGTTATAAGCATAATGCGCCTCCACCTTCTCAAACAGGGCGCGTTTGTAAAATGGAACGTAAATTAAAAAGATTTATATTAAGAGAAAAAACAACCCAGAGATGCCACCATTGTTACACACAATAATGTATTATTTGTAATATAATGTAGTATTTGTAGAGGGATAGTGTTACGAATTGATGCAGATAATTGCTAGTTACTGTTGAACACGTCACGTTTATCTCAATTAGGGCCTTTCATTTCACAGACAATAAACTTAATTACAAGAAAATAATTTGTGTATGCTTTATACCACAACGACCGTATCTTAAGAATATTTAACACGGACATTACGATGAGCGATGTTTTAAATTTTAAAATTGAAACTCACTATGTTATTGATATTTGTAAAATCAAAGACCCTTTTTTAGACAATATTATGTCCTGATTTTGCTATCGAATTGTTTAACATTATATCGATTGCCAGTTTTAGTTTAGTTTCAAATTTATATTGTAAAAAAAAAAAAAAAAAAAAAAAAAACAAACAAAAAACAAACAACCAAACTTGAATATTATAATTCTAAATCCTTTACATGTATATAGATATTCTTTTCTTCGTAAGATGCAAGAAACTCCTAAAGAAGCTTTCAGGCTCTACCAGAAAATATCATTGAAAGTTTATTCCTTTTAGGTAACACTTGAGGAGCTTCATATTCATTACAAACCCAGTTTGGTTGCCACCCAGGCTCACCATATGGAAACAACAGTGGATAAGTCATTGGGTCTAAATTCGGGCTTAAAATGTTGATGTTGATGAAGGGCTTATTTGGATCTGTAGGATTCAATGGGTAGACATGGATGTCACGCTCAAATGGAGGCTCACCGTCAGCGTTTACAAAGACCATTGCAATTTCATTAAAGGTCGCGGTATTATATCGTCGATTATCTGAACGACGATCGCGTTTAAACACCATGTTTACAATAGTAATGTCCTCACCTCTGGTGTTAGCTTCACGTATAGCGTCAGCTTCGACGAAGCTTACGATAGGTGTTTGAAAGCCGACTGTGGCTTCTAAAAAACCTATACTTATTATCCAGACTGTCCTCTCTACAGTGATAATTGTTGGAGTTTTCTTACTTTTGTAGCTTGTGAACTGCTAATTACATAAAGCTGAGCATATTGAGGAGGCTAATTGTTGATTGGTTGTAAGTTATTTGTTCAATAAACACTTTGTCCGTGAACTTTAAAGATGTAGGCCTACGGTCAGCTACCATGAATATAGAACACATGTTGGTACTTATCAAAACTTTAAAATTAATCTATGTACTTAGATTGATATTTCAAGCATAATCATGGTTCTAAAACAGTCCGTAACACTGAAGCTAATTTTGACACTACTGTTAGCACTGATCCAAAACATAATGTTAATCTCAACACTAACCTTAACAGCGTCAATAAAAAGAAAAACTGATACATAGAACTTTTTTCGTGCTTCTAGTGTGAATAAATATTATAGTCCAAAAATCTTCACCGTTTTTTGTATAAGGCTAAATTTTTATACAGTATTTTGTATTAATTACTTAGCATAATCCACCGTAGAATTACATATCCTTATGCCAGACTATAGCCCAAGCGCTTCCTCTAATATTAACAAACTAGATAAATGGCCAGATGAGAAAGAAATACGACGAGAGCTAGGTTGACGTTTTTGTCTTTTTCTCTAAACCTAAAATCACCACCTCAACTTTAAATTTAACAAGAAAATAAAATGATCATAGAAACGTATGATGTTCCATAAACGGCATTTTAACCGGATTTAACCTTGATCTACACGTAGTTAGTGCACATTCACACTAAATATAGTCGTAGTCATACCCATAAACCTTGCACCTAAGCTCAAACTTGGCAAAAGTCCCATTCAGAGTTTCTTTCAGGCAACTTTTCGGGGAGGAGGGGGGCAGAGCCCCCAGAAGAACGACTACCACCACCATAACAAAATAAAATTTATATAGAAATATGCTTTACCAGTATTCCCCCCCCCCCCCCCCCCACAAAAAATTAAGTGCCCCCTCCCCAACCCACCAAAAAAGCTTGAAAGAAACACTGGTCGGATTTGTAGATCATACAGACTAAAATTAGACCCTACTTCTAAAACTATACCCGTTTCCTATTAATTTCCTCAATTAATTTCTCCGTGGGAGGGGGGTGGCTTACAAGTACAAGTATATATTTTATAAATTATAAATTAAAATCAACTATTAAGTTAACTGTTCGCCGTTCGTCGTCGCTGGACGTTTGCTCTAGAATCCTGCAAAGATCAGCCGCCGCTTAAGTGGTCGTTATGTTTGTACCGAATTAAAATAGAGGCGTGCAGTAGTGTGTTATGTTTTCCAACCGATCTTAACATTGCAAAACCTTATTCGCTGCTTACTTTTCTACTTCCGTTCACAGTCAATGACATGATATAACGCCTTCTAGTGACGGAGTTTTTAAAAAGGTTTTCTGCTTGTGGCGATTTCCTTTTAATCAAGAATTCTTTATCTATTTCTATGAAATTCAGTTTCCTTGAGCTCGACACATCCCCCCTCCTTCCATTCAGAGCACGTACTATTTGTTTTCGGAATAAATGTTAATCAAGTCATTTCTTTTTAAATCTCACGATAATGAAAAATAAAATTGTTTAATTTTGTTTTTTCGTGGAATTATTAGAAAATATAATAAACTAATTAGGATCTCCAGGGATATTAATGAAACGAATTTTTAAAAATAATTTAGAATAATACTATGGATACATTGACGTAAAGAAGTGCAAAGTAAACACATCAGTTCGGCGCAGTGAAAACAATGTTAAAAGTTTGGTTAAATCAGTGGACTGACTTCCTCCACATTGACAAGGCTCAAGACAAAAAAATCATATACAAAAAAATAAGTAAAACAAAAACTTGTTGCAATAGTTTAGTTTAATGTGAATATCAGTTAAGGTTAGAGAACCATTAGAAAAAATTGCAAATACTACATATTACGTGACTGAAATAAGGTGAGTAACCAAACGCTAAGTTAAGTTGTTATAATTATCGGTAGTGATATCAGATGACAAGGTGAGAAAGGATGGGTGTGTGGATAGATTGATGGCTGGATTGATGTATATATTCGTGAATGGATGGATGGAGGGACAAATGCATAGACGGATAGATGGATGCATGGAATGGTGGATGGGAGGATAGATAAATGGATAGTTTATATTAGCGTTTTAAAGGGTTTGAGCAGGTAAAGGTATTAAAACTAAAATAAAGGTAAATCGTACAAAATTAGTGCCGTGTATCTGTGTTTAATTTTTAAAAGCAATCCAAAAAACTTCTATTTGATAAATTTTAGACGACGCCCATGTATCACAAACTAAATTAAATCCCTTTGTTGTTACATCATCTGGACGTACCCAGTATCTGGTTTGGTTTTGGGAAGCGGTGGTGTCGACATATATTAGTGAAAAGGAAACTACTGGAGGAGAGTCGAACTCGGTCTGAAAATGTATACGGAATGTTGATCTTCTTCTGTTATCTTCATCTGGGAACCATTGATAATCATCGGAGTTTCCACAATAACGGTAGCCTGTTTCCATTCTCATCCCTTGTTTCCTTAAATTTACATCGAGCTCTGTCAATTTCTTGTCAATCATCGTTTCACTAGCACTGAGGTTTTGTATTTGGTGTTCCGAAATATTCACCCTTAAGTTCATTTTGGATATTATATCTGATAGTTCTTCCACAGATTGCTTGCTCGCCTTTTTAGCTGCATTAATCTCATTTTTCATCTCATTTTCAGAAGTGTCAACCCTTTTTGTAAGATTTTGTATCTCTTTTTCTGACATTTCAACCTTTTCGTTTAGTTTGGTGATTACGTCTAACAGTTCTTCAACGCTCGGCTGCCTGGCTTTAATTGTAATGACTTTGTTCAGCATGGCCGCTTGTTCCCCTGTTTCCAGGATAAGGTTACATGTGTAATTTCCAGCCTGTTTCGTGCTTGAAGTGGTCCAGTGAAGCTGAAGGTAACCAGAGTCCCCTGACACTTCACCTTTGACACTGATTGTCTGGTGGTCGCTGAATGTTTTAGCAGGACCGCATGAAGAGATGGACGCAATCACATCATCTCCTGCAGTCATAAAACTCAAAATAAGAAGTAGAAAAAGAATAAATACAATACTTTTTAAATAATGATAACAATAATGACCAAGGTCATGATCACAATTACGATTACGATATAACGATTAAGAATAACGTTTACGATGCTAAAAATTAACGAAAGTACTATAGTGAAGTGTTGTATTTATCTCAACTTAAATGGGGCAGGTCAAATAATTTATTCCTCGGTTGTTTCGGCTTTATTGCAATACTTCAATGGAAGCTGTGGTTTAGGCTTACGTATAAATCACACATATGCACACAAACTAAGAAATACACACACACAAATACACATAAATAGGCCTATATATATATATATATATATATATATATATATATATATATATATATATATATATATATATATATATATATTCAACTAGAGAGCTAGACTGTTTCAGATCAGTGGAGCGTCCTTGAATCAACTCAGCTCTGATGGGTGCCTAATTTGCGTTAAGGAAACAAAGTCGGCTTGGCATAGTGCTGACCACACTATCCCTTCATACGCAGAGGTCAATGAATCAGATGAACTCTACTTGATCTACCCCATGTGTCTTGGGAACGAACGGGATTAATAAGAAAAGAAGAAGGTATATATATATATATATATATATATATATATATATATATATATATATATATATATATATATATATGGTGTAAAGTTGACAGTTCGCCCATTAGCGGCATGATAGTCACTTAGACTAGAAATAAATAAATTACATAGTACAATGAACTGCATTACTCACCTCGACTCACAGTAATTGAAGTGATATTTCCGGCACCACCATTGATTAGTTCTAATGGGTCGGTGGCCTGGTAAAGTAGAATGCAGGAAAAGCTATTTTTATTTAGCCTTCAAAAGTAACAACATAGTCACAAAGACAAACACACTTTTATGAGACATAGTGAAAGGTAAACCAATAGCGCTATTGGAGAATGTTAGAGGGAGTGTGTGTGTGTGGGGGGGGGGGGGGGGTTATAGACCCACTGCAGTTGGTGGCGGCACACTATGGAAGGTTTTTTATCACCCAGCTCAGATGGTTACTGGTTACTGACTCACGTTAGGGAAAGTAAAGGCTGCTGGGCATAAAACTGACATTATTATCAATATATATATATATAAAAATAAATAAAAATAAATAAATAAATAAGTAAATAAATATATATATATATATATATATATATATATATATATATATATATATATATATATATATATATATATATATATATATATATATATATATATTTTATATATATATATATATATATATATATATATATATATATATATATATATATATATATATATATATATATATATATATATATATATACAGTGCGTGGGTGTGTGTGTAAATAAAATCTTTTTGGAATTACAAATCGCGCCCTGTCGGGGCGCCACCCCTGCGAATTTGAAATATTTGTTTTCGCAGAAACCTCCCCAGGAATATTCTCAACAGCTTCCCAAAGTTTCACGGCGATGTGATGAGAGGTGTAGTAATGCATAAAGGACAGACGGACAGACAGACAGACACACAAACATACATTGCTTTATATATATATATATATATATATAAATATATATATATATATATATATATATATATATATATATATATATATATATATATATATATATATATATATATACATATACATATACATATATAAATAAAATGTATGTAAATGAAATCTTATTGGAATTACAAAGAAATTACAAAGAATAACATTACCTGGAGTTCACATTTTAGTTCCAGTGACTCTTCCAAGTTGGGTGCTATTATCGGCTTGGATGAAGTTAGTTTTAGTTCAAATGCTGAGAGTAAAGATAATTTCTTCTATAATTGTATCATGCTTTAATTTAAATATTACATTGGTAAATATAAACGTGTGAAGCAGACAAGTTTTAATTCTCAGAATATAAACTTTCCTGAGTCATTCTTTCTGTTGTATAATACAAGCAAGGCGAAACATTAAAACATTTATTATAATATATTCGAATAAAATGTGCATCAGCGCCACCCTGCTCCCTTCAACAGCACATAAACTGTATTTAGATAAAAGTTTAATAACTGTACCAAACGTTTACATCTAACGTTAAGCAAATACGTTATGCGGAAATCAAATTCTATGGATATCGTTTCTCTACTATAACGTTACTCCTCTACTAAACTCATCATTGGATTAATCTTATAACTGTAAAACACCCACTATTTTTTGGTTAAGTACTAACCTTCATTTGTTCTGGTGCTGATGTATAACACAACAATCAGTAAAACCCGCTGATGGTACATGATGTCTAAGAACTTTACCGATGCCGCACAATTCTTAAAATAGAAAATTATGATTAGACTTTTTAAAATTATCAAAAGATCCATATAAAATATTAACATTTATAAAATTAGAAAGTGTTTAGTTTTATGTTTTTCGATGAAAGTGAAAGCTTGGAGATAACGGAAGTAAACTAATATCTGTGACAGGATCGTGTGTAGATGTCGGCATATAGGAAATGATACCAGTCAGTGGCGGAACTAGAAAAAAAAGGCCACCCCGCAAAAATTTTTTTAGGCCCCGCCATATATATATATATATATATATATATATATATATATATATATATATATATATATATATATAAATTTATATATATATATATATATATATATATATATATATATATATATATATATATATATATATATATATATATATATATATATATAAAGACAAAATACGATCATAGAATTCTCATTGCTGGCCTGTTCGGGTTTTGAATAAAAAATATTTTTTTTCAATTAAAACAAATTACAATAGCATGTCATGTGTGTACGTGCGTTAGTCTGTTTTAAAACCTAGTTTATTTTATCTTTGCTATAACCCCTTCTTAACCTCTGTTGGTCAAAAGAATATAAAACATGAAAGCTTTGCATAAGTAATGGTGTCTCGTGTTATGTTTATTTTTATGTTGTTTTGTACAAGAGCGTGGTGTGGTGTCTATAAAATAAAGATAATCCAATCGCAGCTATGTTAGTCTTTTTACAAAACAACCTTCAAGTTAAAAATGCAAGAAAATTAATATTTTTTAACTATACATTTTTTTATTATGGTCGGCTGTGGGTCCTTAAATGGCGTGGGCCCCCCGCATTGCGGGTTCTGGCGGCACAGTAGTTCCGCCCCTGATACCAGTTCATTGGTATATCTTGTGACCCTATACGGTGTTAAAATAACTAGTCCAAAATAAAATCTATAAATATTTTTGACAAATTTAATTTTGCTTTATTAGTTGTTTTTTTTTACATTAGTCGCCTCTGTAAGTCTGCAGTTTTAAACCAAGAGGAAAATAAGACAGTAAATTGTCATCGCAGTTATTCAATTATCCTTTAATGCCATATGTTGTTCTATGTGAAAAAAATATCTGCGCATGCAGACGTTTGGAGCCACGCCCCCGCGTCGTAACTCCTGCTAAGCCATTCGATACTTGGAGACAGCGGCTGAGCAACTGTGTCACGAGACCTTTGTATCAGAGAGGCAGTCAGAGAAAGTATTCTTGTCTAGGGACGGAGTAGAAATAAAAGTGGTCTCATGTGGCGACAGTTATAGGAGGTAGCAAGCACATTAAGAATTAAATATATTTCCTACATTCTAGACTAGACATTCTGTATCATGACTTACCTTTTCGCAGTAAAATCATCAATGTTCTGTTCAATGTTTCGAGTAGCAAATGTATTTTTTTGTGAATCGAATCTGCGTTATTTACTTAACATTCAACGTATTAAAATGTTAAAACGTATCTTAATAATTCAAAGATGTATATAACTATCATCCCTAAACATAAATAAGTAGATTGCTTCAATTGAAATCATAATTACTTACATGAATTGTTTTCTCAAGACTTTGGTACGTGGTAGTTCACAATGTGGAGCAACCCAGCAAGTGTTAAAGGCTTGTTAAATCCTTGCTTATATGCATCACGCCTCAACCTCTCAACCAATGAGAACGTCGAGTTTATTTCCTTTTCTCCACTCGCAACCAATGAGAACGTCGAATTTATTTCCTTTTCACCACTCACGTTACCAGGAAAAGATCTATGTCCTGGTTCTGGTGAACGCTTAACTTCTCACCAGGTCAGCACATACATTTTTTTGTTGTCAAAATTAGATTCGTAACCCAAAAATTCGATTGCAGTTTAGACGGAGGGATAATTCTTAAAGTGGGTCACTTCTTCAATTTATTTTTCAATACTACAATTTTTTTTTAATTACAATGTGACAAAAACAACTGCGCACCAAATGAATAGGAATAATGTGCGTATAATAGCGAGGTAAACAATAACTTGTATACCAAACTTTAATAAATTCTTAAAAAAATAATTAAGATAACAACGAAATAGAAATTGATATCAGACTGCATCATTACCGGTTCTCAACACTCATGCCAAGTTTCAGGAAAATCAGTCGGTAAGAAGTGGTTGAAATTTCGCACGACAGTTTCTAAGGACGACAAAAGACAAAATAAAGAGAGACAGGGGTAGCAAATTAAGTATTGTAAAAATGCATTAGAATACATAAATAAACCAGGAGTGATCTCCCCTAAACTTTCTCGAATATTCTTATATAATACTACGGGGGATGGCAACGCGGGATATAGACACGATTTTTAATCCATGTTTAATTACTTAAACTGTTTAAAATAGAAAAGAATCTCGTAGAAAAATAGAATTGCCCACCAAGTGAATATGTGTATATGTGTATAATAATGCGGAATATTATTAGTACTTTATAAATTCATTTTCATTTTTTGAGAAACCGGAAATAGCGTAATTTACTACTTCCGGTCAACAAAAATTACTCAAAAAAGGCAGAAAATTGGATCTTTTACTTATATGTGAAATTTCATTTATCTATTTAAAACAGAACTCAAGTTATAGGCTTTTGAAAAACTAAAAGTAGAATTAGTCATACATCGTTTATCGGAAATCGCTGAAAAGTTGATACAGAACTACAAATGTGATATAATACTTATTTAAAATGTAATCGACCTAGCTGTAACGGTAGATAAGCTATCGTGTTTACAGACACACAAACACATACACACAGGCTAATTTGCAAAATTATGTTTTTCCGTCTCAGGGAGGTCTAAAACGTCGATATTTGTGAAAATCTATATTTCGATGTTTTGCACCATTGCCATACTTCATCTATACGAGAAAGTAAAAGCTAATGTAAAATGCATCGGAATAGATAATATGTTGATTTTAGTGTGTTTAAGGGGAATGTATAAGTTGGTGGAGTTACATATTTACTTTCTCGTATATACGAAGTAGGCCTATAGAGAAAGTCTTTTAATCGTGCAAAAAAAAATCGAGATTTTTACAAATCTCGACGTTTTACATCTCACTGATACGGAAAAACATAATTTTGCAATCTTGTCCGTATGTCTGTGTGTGTGTGTGTGTGTCCGTGTGTAAACACGATACTTGAGTACCGTTACAGCTAGGTTGATGAAATTTCATATACAAGTATTTTATCAAAATCGTTGATCCGTATCAACTTTTGAGTAATTTCCGATAACTGGAAGTGGTACTTTTTCTACTTTGAATTTTTCAAAAACCAATAACCTGAGTACTATTTCAGATAGATAAATGAAATTTGATATGTAAGTAAAAGATCTAATTCTCTATCTTCTGTCAAATTTTGAGTAATTTCCGTTGACCGGAAGTAGTTATTTACGCTATTTCCGATTTCTCAAAAAACGCATGTATATTTATAACGTACTAATAAGATTGCGCGGTATTATGCACATCTTTATTTAGCGTTCACTTGATGTGCATTTCTTTTTTCTACGAGATTATATTCTACTAGGCATGCTGCCCAGCTTCGCTTAGGCTTTCGAAAACATTGATAATTTGAATGCTTAATTAATTCGTCCGAGGGTCGGTCTACGACCTCAGGAGTTATGAAGAGGTTCCTCCGTGGACATTTTTTTTTATTTATAGCTCATATAAGGCGCCGGTCAGTCGAGGTCAGTTTTGACCCCATCATCGTAGACTTTTCGGCCAACCGGTCCCCGTGTTCTGTCGCCCCAAGGCAAGATCCTGCCAAATTTGAAGCGCCTGCGGCGCCGGGAAGTGACCTATCGGGCACCCGACAACTTTGCTTTATATATTATAGAGATTAGCAAATTGCCTAGATAAACAAAGATTTCAATAAAGTAATAATTATTAAGGCCTGAAATACTTTATTTGAATAGATTCTAGATCTAGGTAGGGTCTACATCTGTGTAAGTCTAGTTTTTCCGTAGATCTAGATCATCTAGATCTAGATCTAGAATCACTAGATCTAATATCTAGATCTAGATGATCTAGAATATCTAGATCTAGAATCCTAATAGAATTTTTTTTAAAGTTTAGCCCGAGCAAAATAAAAATAAATAAAAAACCAAGTATGACTTGGTGTGTGTCAAACCCGCACCACCTGCGTGGTTTTAAGTACACTATCATCTCAGCTATTAAGGCATCTTACAAAACTCGGAGAATGAAAGACGTATTTTAAAATCTTAACTTACGCGAATATGCCTATTCTTTCAAATTAATTTTTTTATCCCAAAATTAGCCAGTTCCAAACAAAGATTTTGTATAAAATAATTAAGTCTTGAAATAGTTTAGTCCTAATATAGAAATTTATTTTTGGAATAGTTCTAGAGTAATTAGAGTCTAAATCTAGATCTTTGCGTCTACGTCTAGTTATTGCGTATATTTAGATCTAGTCTAGATCTAGAATATCTAGATCTAGAATCCAAATAAAAAAATAATTTTATGAGTTTAGGCCGGAAAAATTGTATTGTATACATTTCATAGTGTACGTAGATCTAAATCAAATTTGAATGAAATAGTTCATTTCTTTTTATTCTAAACACGGCAGATGACGCCATTAGTTAATGTATAAGCAATAGTGACGTCATAGTTTAATGCGTTCTTTTTCACATGTATTAATGCTTTTCCGGTTGCATAAATAAAATTGTTTTTCTACATTCGAATACGCCTTTATTTTTTATTTTTCTTCTTTAAATAAAATTGTGGTTATACATTTAAAACATCTAACATATTATTTTCAACAAAAGTCCGTATAAAGTTCTCCAAATATCGCTGCCGCTTCTGACGTGGTGTCCGGCGAAAATATTTTGCGGACAGACAGAGAGAGAGAGAGAGAGAGAGAGAGAGAAGAGCGCACATGGCCTTTTATATATTAGGATTTTAAAAAATTTGAGTAATTAAAATGGATTAAAAATTATGTCTAGAAGTCTATATCCCGAGTTGCCATCCCCCATAGTGTTATATTAGAATATTCGAGAAAGTTTAGGGGAGATTACTCCCGGTTTATTTTGTAATGGTGTTTGCATTTTCTTGTTAGAGATTCTAGTACTTGTGTTTGTTTGTGTGTGCGTGTGTGTGTGTGTGTGCGTGTGTGCGTGTGCATGTGTGTGCGTGTATGTGTGTGTGTGTGTGCGTGCGTGTGTGTGCGTGTGTGTGCGTTTATGTGTGTGTTGGGGGGGGGGGGGGGGGGGTTGCTCTTATCAGAGCATGTGGTACAAGTGCTTGCCTAGATGAGAGTGAAGAGCGGCAACTGTAACCTTGGCCCAGATTATGTAAACACTTCATGCTTGTTTTCTCATTGGCTGTTTCCGATCATAACTTATTTAGAATTATAACATTAACCGTGGGGTCGTTTAAGAGATCCTGTTAGTTGAATAATTGTAGAAGACTCCATTTTACTTTCTCGTATATACGAAGTATAGAGAAAGCCTTGTAATCGTGCAAAAAAAAATCGAGATTTTTGCAAATCTCGACGTTTTACACCTCACTGATATGGAAAAACATAATTTTGCAATCTTGTCCTTATTTCTTTGTGTATGTCTGTGTATACTATTTCAGATAGATAAATAAAATTTCACATGTAAGTAAAAGATCTAATTCTCTACCTTCTTTCAAATTTTGAGTAATTTCCGGTTACCGGAAGTAGTAATTTACGCTATTTCCTATTTCTCAAAAAGCGCATTTAAATTTATAAAGTACTAGCAGTCCCGGCCAGGCCCTGCTCTGGCCTCTGTGAAAAACCTATCTGTAAAAGACCATGACATGTGTGTTTTGTAATCAGCATATATCCGGCATTGCCCACCTTAACCACAACCAATCAAAACCAAAACACAGAAAAAAAGAACCGCGAACATAACACAAACACAAACAAACACAACACAACCTTAACACAATTACAACACAAACAAAACACAACACAAACAAAACACAACACAAACCGGGACGGCTTGTATTATATAAAATTGTATATCTTCTTGTAGTTTGGTGCAGGTGTCTATAAAAAAGCTTTCTGAAACCTATCTGTAAAGAAACATGGCAATAGTGTTTATTAATCAGCATATACCCGGCATTGCCCACCCTAATCCCAACCAATCAAAACCAAAATTGAAATAAAGAAAGGAAACATAACATAAACGCAAACACTAATACAAACGATAACACAAGCCCATACCCAACCACAAACACAAAACCAACCACAAACACAAATACAAACACAAACCCAAAGAAAAAAAACACAAACGAAAACGAAAAAGAAAGAACGAAAACGAACAAAATCAAAACGCAAATCAACAACTCACGCAAACCCAAACTAAACACAAAGAAAACACAAACGCGAACATAAACGCAAAGTGCTCACAGTCTAGCCCGGGGCGCCAAATCGCACCATGCTGGGGCACCCGCGGAATCGCTTGTTCCAGCTAAATAAACGACTATAATACCCCAACTTTTGCACTCACTGAAACAAAATTAGGCGCTAAACCGAACACGGGAGGCCCGGGGCCCCAAATAGCACCCTGTCTGGGCGCCAGAGGACAAATATAATACTCCAATCTTATCCGTAAA